TTCGGAATATTGGATAATTCGGCAAGGCCAGAGCCCTATTTGTGTAAAATTAACAAGGGTTTACTGCATTGTGTTAAAACTGCCTTGCAGCGTAACGATGCACAATTTGGCGCATTGGCCCTTCACTTAAAGCTGAGAGTCACAGTTTACACTGAGGTCCTGAGAAACATTGGTACATTTAATGACATTTTATAAACGCACAATTCTAAGCTGTCCGTTTATGCTAAACTGCATCACGAGAGAGAGGTTACTCCATTGTACAGCTCCCATCGTTATACTGGTAGGAACCTCCTGGTTACACCAGCCCACAGGGGATTATTGTGTCCGTCCGTCGTGTATCCAAAACTGGGAGGGGTGGGGCTGGGTGGAGAGGGGGGGGGTGGGGCTGGGTGGGGGGTGGGAGGGGTGGGGCTGGGTGGGGAGGGGCTGGTCACCCCGTGGTGCCCTTATAAAACTCAACGTTTAACCTACTCACGCCGGCTTGTGCCCGCCCTCACAGTCGGCCATATTTGCGGAATACACCACGCCGCCGTTGACCCTGGCCATTGACCGAGCAACCCAACGTTCCTACCAGCTCCTTCCGCAGGAATGTGTTACTGTACTGGGTCGTTAATCCGATCCTTGTTATTTTTATCTAATCGTGAACCAATGCACAGCCTTTGTCATTGTCGTAACCATTTTCATTTGAGACAAACAAAGCTCGAACTTGGTCGTGAATTCCTTAAAGTGCTGTATGTTGAACTGTGGACGCTGGACGGGATGTAGGGTTATATCTTATCACGAAGTGGAACGCAAACATAACTCTGACCATCAAGAGTAACCTTAGTGTGTGCGATCTTACAAACACGGATTCTGTAGTTGTTTGCAGAGTTGAATTAACGTGCTGCTGCTCATGTGTAGCAAAAACAACTATTTATATGTTGGGATATTTTCGCTATTTTTTTTTTATTGTGCCATGTGCCAATCATGTGTTAGCAACCATTGTACTAAATATCTCTCGAAGTCGCAGCCACGTTTCCTACTGCGGTGCTAAAACAGCGGCCCAGTTTGCCAAAGCACTGTGCAGCATTGAATGCTTTTGAAGATGCAGTATCAACTTTGTGGTGTCAGACAGGACCCTGAATAATTTATAATCGCATGAATGTAGCATCTAAATGTCTAAATGCAGCGGCATTTGCAAGATGCTGGGGGCATATGACAAGGATACAGAGAACACGGATCAGACAAAGATCCCCCGTATAGCCTTAACATACTTTTGGGGCAAGTGCTGTTAGCCAGGAGTAGCACCTATGAAGGCCGGCACGGTGGCACACGAGGAAGAGGGTGGGTGGCCAGCACCACGCCCGGCGATGTTTACCCACCGCACCAGGTATTCATTTGAAGGCTGAGTCGACCTAGGGGAGGCCCAGGATCGGTTCAGATAATCGTCACTGGTGTTGGTGGTCGTGAGCGGGAATCGAACTCGGGACGCCGGGTTCGTAGCGCAGCGTAGCGCTAACCGCGACACCACCGCTCCCCACTATCTCAATGTCTAAATGCAGCGGCATTTCCAAGATGCTGGAGGCATATGATAAGACCCAGAGAACACGGATAGAACACACACACACACACGTGTTTATATTCCCAGGGTCAGCCGTATGGAGAGAAGCTTTGAGCTAACATGACGATACCAACATGTAACTCTCGTTTTCAATGCGCATAGCTGCATTGACGAATACATTTCAACGTGAAAATACTAATTATATTTTACAGTAGTACAGATATAGGGAAGTTGTCAAATTGAGTCAGTTTGCCCGTAATTACAATTACAAGAGTAGAGTACTGTAGGTGCTGTTGTTGTTGTTGTGTGTGTGTGTAAATCGAAACGCAGAATTGAGCATAGTTTTTCGGTGCCTAGGCACAGGCAGTGGTCTTCACCAGGACGCAAGGACGGCACCTCTGAGCACACCCGGCCTCTGTACCGGCACTTCTTAGTCATCCGCCTCCACCACGTTTGTTTCCACAAAAAGAGAGAAACGGAAAACGACACGTGGTCTGAAGGTGGAACAGGTTTCATGCCGGGGGGGGGGAGGACTGCTGCATATCCATTTCGAACACTGTGCATAGGCACATTTCACGATTGGTACGTTTAAAGAGACGCACCGACTAAAAATATATCCAGTGCAGAGGTGTGTCGTGTCAATGTTAGTGTACTAACGTTGTTCGCACCAAGTATGCCGATGAGACTCGGAAAGTCAAAAGGGATGCAGTTTTACACTTAAATGCTGCTTGACATGTATCCAGATGTCCCCGATGTTCGTGAATATTTACACGTATAAAATTACATACGTCTTCTTGAATAGGTCTGACAGGTCTACGGATGTTGACCTGTATGTTGACCTGTCAGACCTATTCATATAGCCAAGCGTGATAATTGGAGGTGCGAAATCGAGGTCTGAATAATAAACACAAAAGCAAAGACGCCCACGTATAGCCTGTAACAGACTGTTGGGGCAAGTGCGGTTAGCGAGCACCTACGAAGGCCGGCACAGCACACAAAGGGGTGGGCGGCCAACACCGCGCCCGACCGTCTTTGTCTCCCCAGTGGCGATGTTTGCAAATTGCACCAGGTACTCATTTGAGGCCGAGTCGCCCTCGGGGAGGCGCAGGACCGGTTCAGATAATCGTTGCTGGTGTTGGCGGTGAGCGGGAATCGAACTAGGGTCGCCGGGTTTGTAACGCAGCGTGCGAACCGCTACACCACCGCTCACAGGAATGAGAGGCATTGTAAAGTGGTGGGCGAAAGGGGCTCTCGACTCGGGTTTTGGAACCCCGAATACTGGTAGGAACCACTTGGTTCCACCAGCCCACAGGGGATTATTGTCCGTCCGTCGTCCATCCAAAAATGGGTGGAGAGGCGCTGGGTGGGGTGGGGCTGGGTGGGGAGGGGCTGGTCACCCCGTGATGCCCTAATAAAACTCAACGTTTAACCTATTCACGCCGGCTTGTGCCCGCCCTCACAGTCGGGTATATTTGCGGAATACACCACGCCGCCGTTGACCCTGGCCATTGACCGAGCACCCCAACGTTCCTACCAGCTCCCTCCGCAGGAATGTGTTTTCGTACAATTACCAAAGGAAAATGGAGTTCCTGCAGGGACAATGACACGAGCGGCAGGATGTTGGGTCCCAGCGTCATCATATCAGCAACCGAGGAGGGTGAACGCGCAGTGGCCAATGGCACCACATATGTAGTGACAGGAGTAGCTCCTGCTCAAGTGTTAGATCAGCAACAAACCACTATAACTTTGAGATATATATGTGCGCCCACGAGTTTTCCTGCGTGTGCAAACATGTTCATGCCGAGATCAAAGATACCGAAGATGGATTTCCCTCCCACCTCGTCCACACATGCTAAAATCACATAGTGGTAATTTTTTATTTCAGTACAATGCACTTTCAGAATGTATCAACTAAACACTGATCAGCGCCAACTAAAGCAACTCGTAAAGTTCTGTAATACGTGTACTGTACAGAAACTGATAAATGCCCACCGGTTAGTCATAAAAATATGCGCGCTATTCTTTTTTTATTGGGACCTTTTCACACTTACGTACTACCGTATGCGTCGGCACGCGGCTTGCAGCCCATCCCAACGGTTCAGTGTTTACAAGTTCAAGTACATATTTACACATTGTGCCCCCTGATCAGCGAGGGTGATAGCAAGGCGTGGGCGAAAGGATGGGAGCGTCTTCAACCGAACACTGGATGCATGGACTGGCTTGCTATCCATTGATTTTTTTTAACAATGTGGTGAATGTAGGAGCTATGAGTGGCTGCGCGAATCAATTACATACACATCGGCTGTATATTTGGAATTTGCATGTCTCTCTCCCTGTGGTCGTGTGGATTTTTCTCTGGGTCCTCCGGTTTTCCCCTCCACATTTAGAAACACGCGTTTAGAATATTTGACTGCTATACATTTCCACACGATGAGCCCATTCATTGGGCTATCATTTGTGACCCGGTCGCTTCTGAAAAAATAGCTATGTAGCTCAGTGGGCCTTGCTTGGTAAAAATAAAAAAATAGTTTATATCCGGTTGGCTTAAGAGTTTCTACTGATCAATTTATGTATTCACCATTACACTCGTACATGTTCTCAATGGTATCTTCCGAAACAATATTACGTGCAATGCTAACCAAGTCTCCCAAAGCATTCTCTACCTGCAAATTACGGACTTGCCACCGACGCGATCAAGACGCTAACTGTAGGCCAATTATTAAGACTTAAGCATACTTGCAAACCCGAAGGATTTAAGCAGGCTGGCGATTTCGAAACCGTGTTTGCACACCGATTATCAAAGCTAATCATGACTTTAAAAATAGTTTTCGGCGATGTGATTTTTGCTTCGTAAATCGGTCAGTGGGGTGAAGGAGTCTTAAAGGCGGCAGCCTCACCGCTGAAATGCGATTATTGGTTTAGAACTTTAGATAGTCCGCTAGCAGCCTGTATTAAACGTGTTGAGAAAGATTAATTAACGTGGTGATTACTCACATTCACCTCGAGAGAAATGTGCTTATCTCACAAGTCTCATTCAATTTCGAATTAACTCATCCCACAACGCACGCCATCTCGTCAGATCTTAATGTCCTTCCTGATATAGCTTTAATCAAACGTTATTCCTTGATATATAGTTGATTGTAAAAACAGGGGCTTCAAAATAAGCCTTACTCTTAGCCAGTATGACTTTAACATATCTCGTTCTCAATTTTTTGACCGCCCTTCCTGAATTTGAATTACTCTATGCAGGCTTTAACGTCATGTGGAACAACACCGTAAATGCATGAAAATGAATCAACTCCAACTGAAAGTAAGAAGTACTGGAGTCTAATTTCTTCCTCTTGGGAGAGAAAACATTTTCAAAATTAATCATTTCCAACATCCCACGCTGTTTTAAGCGGCACAAGCAAAACGTTACGACTGAACGCAAAACAAAAAAAATGTAGATCTCCCAAACTCAAAAGATTAAATCATATTTATACTCAAACCAAGCTACATTCTATATGTTACAGCATTCACCAATTACTTCAGTAGTTCAGTTTAACAAACTGCCACCCCATCCACAGCATCAGAATAGTAATACACAATCTGTTGCTTTGTGCACCAAATGATTATACACAGCAGGCATTAAGAGAAACATTTGGCATGTTTTTTTCAAACGTTTAGAAACACAATTGTACAACCTATGCTGCCCGAATCTCTTCAACGTGTAAACGAAGCAATCGATGAACAGTAACACCCACCCACGCATCTGTCTATTCCGGTTGGTGATACAAAATGACTTGGGCTCATCTACAAACCCTCGACAACATCTTAAAAACTCCTTCAGCAAAGCTTTCTCATTGCAAGCCCAGCAGCGATGGTCCTCCTATCCAACATCAGCTTTCCTCACAATCGCCCCGTGTCTTTACTAAACTCGACCGAGATTCATGTAAACACCAGTTACAATCGCCGATGCGATTACGGAATGTTGTACTCGTGAAAAGAACTCGCACCCGCGCAAACGTGTACCGTCCATAGAACTCACCCAGGAAAAGCGGCAAAGAAAAACAGGTTTTATCCCAACGAAGTGGGGAGACAGCCAGGCATGCGGGACAATTATTTTGTTGTTGTCGCAAAAACAAGTTGGCAAAAGGAGAGCGTTTATTTTCAGCCACCACGAGGCCTGACGGTCATGGCTAAATTAGATTGGTGGAAAAAGAGGCCAACTTTCGTAATATTTAGTCAATCGTGCAGATTCCTAATATTTAAAAGAGAAAAAAACTAACTGTACGAAGTTAATAAGTGGGGTTATTTCATACCTGTCAACCCATACGGGTTACCCGTATTCTTGTACACTGACATTTCGTAAAACAATGTTTTATCTATTTGTTTGTGTTTCTCCCTCGTGATAGGACTTTGTAGGATGAACGTTGAGATGTATAAGGTCACGGGGTGACCAATAATGCCTGAATTGGTCTGTAATAAGGGGTTGACAGGTTTGCTATTTCTACACACTCAAAACACTCGCTCCCATCGTATAAACTAGGCATGAAGGGACGTTACTAAAATCGCCTATCATTCCCGAGAACAGCAAACTGGAGCAAAGCCTGCGCACTTCCAAGAACTTGTGTTTCATGAACGTGTACCTTTTGAAAAGTGTAGTCTATGGTATTAATGGCACAGGCATAATACAAAAATAAAGGCTGCCAATAAGCAAAGGCATCACGTTACATGTATAAGCAGTCTTGTATTTTAAAGCACATTTGCTCGCCGAAATTCGCACCACACCCACCGATTCATATCCGATAGGTTTTACACTTCGGCCTCAATGTAAATCATGAAACAATTGTTGACGATGGACATGATCAATGAAAACGTGGGTTTTAAAGATATGCTAGGATGAAAACGATTGAACTTTGGCCTATAGTACATGCAACGTTCTTAGTCAGCACTGCTTAACTCGCAACCACAGGCAGGGGTTAAGCATTCGTTACACGCAAACCCATATCAGCAATATTGTACACGATGCAAACTCGTTAAAAAGCAATCAATTCAATCAATTCATGGCCCTTTATTTAACCATGTTAAAAGCGTATTGGCATGCAACATCTCTACAGCCGGGGGAAATGTTCGTGTACATTTACTCGTAAGCAATTATTTTACTACAATTTAATTTGCGTTTATGATGATTTGGGCTTCCATAAAACCGATGAACAATTTAGCAAAGCTTACATATTCTGAATTTACACTGGAAACTAAGTTGTTTAATGCCACCGACCTTTGAACTCGTTGGCTTATATATGTCACACGCGTACATGCCAACAGAGCTCACACTTTTAAGCCAGGCAATGTGTGCAAGCTTAATTACTACTTACATTTTAGCTCCTGTACTTTGTAACGCTATCAGTATGGGCGTAACAATTTTCCTGCTTGCAATTCAATAATTCAAATGTATGCTATTGTGAGTGCAGTTGTTGGAAGGGGATGCGTGCACTCATTGCATAAGCAGGAATCGGGGAAAAGATCAATTCTTACACGCGCGATTCCATTCGCGTATCATGGAGCATAAGAATTGATATTTTTGTCGAATCGATGCATTGTTACACCCCACGTATTAGCAACCAGAGCAGAAATCGGAAAGCGCTAAATTATAGAGCTTTACCAGGCATATGTGAATATCGCAACAAGTCTGCATGAAATGGGCACAACACACCTCCCCACTGAAAATCAGGCCTATGTTGATAGGCTGGATGTTTTACTAAGCAAAATTTTACTGAACGCATAAGTAAACAGCTTGAAATAATCAAAGGCATCGGCCGTCGAAAACGTGTGCTAGTATTACAGTTCCAAACGGCAATTTAAACAGCAGTGTTTGTACAGCAGCATGCATCAGCATTCAGACTCTTACATTTTTTTGTGCGATTACAAAATTCCCAAGAATTTTTTCAAATTTGAATGCACTGATCTTCCAAGTACTCACAGGGCCAGTTAACGTTATTACTTGCGCAAATGAGGGTGATAATTTTAACGATATGCTACAAATTGTAATGCAGACAAACAATAGTTGGGTTCACGTAATTTAAATGATCACATGCAAGTGGCATAAATATACTGCACTGGGCAGCCAGGCAACTCATAACCACCTATCACTCAATTACAATAAATGTTATCGTTTTAAAAAATCCGACAAATAAATGTTTCAAGCCAATTGACAGCACTTCACAAAAGCCAAATTAGGAATCTGCGTCACCACACTTCGGGCGAGCAGTACAATCATAAAACAAATACAAACACGTGATACCAAAAGCACATGTTGTTAACCGAACAAAAAACTAAGACACCACTGCAGGGCAGAGACAAAAAAACACTCACAGCGGTGGAGGGCATGGAGGAGGTTGGGAGGTTTGGAGAGAAATATTTTGGATGGTTGAGAACCTGTGCCATTCATTTTCTTAAAATAACATTTTAATCAAATTCCAAAACTGATTTTGTATATATAGGCACCTGCAAGTATTTTTCCACATCCATTTAATTAGATGTTTTTAAATATCACAATATGTTTTAATATTCCTGTGCAAGACTTCAAAAGCAAGCTCGGATCTCACGGTCCCTCCCCGCCCCCTGTAAGCGCTCACGGCTTGTGCACAGTTTTAAACGTTTCACAGTTTTGCCCGCAGTGGTTGCGCTCCCGCTGACAATGCACTCTCTCGTAGGCACAAAAACACGACGCATCTACTCTTAGTGGGGCTGGCGGTGCAATTGTGACGGTGGGTCGCGCAGAGACAAGTGGCCGCCGCCGCCGCTTATCACGTCGGTCGTGTCGGTGCGTGGCCGCTGTCGACTGTTCGAAAACAACCGAGAGAATTGCCGCCGCCCCCCCACGTTCGGAACTAGCGAGATTCCGCTTCAGGCTTCCTTGGCCTCCTCATCGTCCGAGTTAAAGTTGCGCTCGTCACGGCCCTCCGACAGGCCGCTCTCGTCGATTCGCTCCAGCGAGTCGGCGTGCTGCACCGTGAGCTCGCTCAGCCGCACGGTTACGAGGTTGTTCTGCTCCGGGTACAGCCACGGCTTGTGGTCACAGTTGTGCTTGCTTTTCCACTCGGGGTACTTCAAACACGCCTTGTAGATCTTCTTCATCGCCTGTTGTGCGGCAGGAGACAGGTCCACATGGAGAGAGGTGATATGCAGATGTGGCAATACGGTTTAATAAAAAGAAAGGTTTGTAAGCCGAATGGCCACTAGTCAGCAGTAATAAAACAACTTAAACCTTTCCCATTCCGATGACGTATGTACATGTACATCATTAGTTTATTGTTATAACTTTATCGGTACGTCTTCTAATCAGAAGACGTACTGAGGCTCCCACAAGGCCATGTAAAAGGTCGTACGGGAAGGTGTGTGGCCCACTTTGGCGACAGCTATAATAGAGTGCGGCCGTGTCGCAACAGCACTCTGCGGTGAGTACCACGGCACTATGCCTCTCTAAATAAAATTAACGCTGACCGCTTGCGCGTTCCAAGATTCAGCGGTGAATGAGACCCACCCTGCAACTTGCAGCCATCTTGGAACGGATTAACTTACAGTGCTTCTGATGACTGATTTACAACGCCAGTCTTCGTGACCCCCATGGTACAGGTTTCTGTAATTACTAACCATTAGGTACCACAACACTAGTCCATAGTCACTGCAGTGTGCAGTGTCTTCATTTGCATACATACAAATAGAAAAGACTGGTAATCAGTGCTTAACGTAATAAAGCAATGGATTTTTTAAACTTAAAGTTCAATAATAAATATTAAAATATCCATAAAGGTCTCACTGAGTCTCAAGACTTTCAGTAAAACTGTTATATGTTTTTTAAACAACCGCCATGCTTTACGAGCAATTACAGCAACTATCGATTGGAATTATACCTTTTCATGGAGTTAAGGCTACCGTTCAAGTGAATGTGTGGGCTTAACTGTCAGGCCAGTTTAAATGAAAGGACAAATGTAATTTTGTTCTGAGGGGGAGTGTAATCTTCATGTCACACACATTACCTTTGGAGCCATGAACTGAGAGGCTTTATTCACCACCCACTTGGGCAAGGAGCCTGCGGGGAAAAAAATCCACACACAAGGACAAATGACATTCACCGGAACCACATTTCATCAGAACCACATTTCACCACACCGCATCTACCAGCCATAAAACTAAGTCAAGTTTGAGAACACTCACTAGATGAACAATAGAATGAGAGAAAATCAACCCATGTGCAGACGCCAGATGGATTGTTCCATCTCAAGGCCGTGAGATGGCGATGGGTCTGGAAGGCCTTCATCCATCAGTAGATGGATCATGGCCGAAAGGTGACGATGACGAAGCTTAGAATACAGTTCGTAAGAATTCATAACACGGGTGCTAAGGTGCGTAGAAAATAATTTTGCAGGAAAGTGCCAAAATGTAGTCTACTTTTCAGTTCTTCAAATTTGAAAAAAGACAATTTTATATATAAAAAAATAGGTTTGTAAAAAAGTTGTCTTGGTTGTTTAAATTGACATGTGACATCGGTCATGGGAGTTTTACAAAAACTACATCCGTCTGTACCGCCAAGAGAACCCACAAAACACTAAAAAAATGACTTGGCTAAAGTTTCTGAACAGTAACTTCCTCAACTATTCTGGGTAAAAGAAGAATTATGCAATTATGAGAATTAAAATCGATTGTTCACAAAATGAGGTGTGTGTCCCACACTTATGAAAAACTACTGATTTAACTACATCTCCATGTCAAAAGTAGTTGAGTGAAGTTTGATTTTACTTGACAGAGTGGTGATCACATTCGTTTTTTTTTTTCATTACAGTTGCTGAGCACAGGCACCCAAATGCCAAAAATGCCAAGCAGCCGGCAACAAAGAGCACAATTGAAAGTTGTAAAGATTTAGAGGTAGTACCTTCCTTGTATTAAGCAACGTTTTCAGAATCAGAATATTTATATATACTGCAGGAATCCGATGAGCTGTAAAGCTCTTTTGCACAGATGTCCAGTCGGGGCACGGGGTAAGAACGTTACAACAATCCAAAAACACGATAGGGATGCCAAGTACAAGAAAGGTAAACACATCACCGAAACACATACAAATACAACTAAACCATCCCCATCCTACCAGACAAAGCCCACTGAGGTATTAACTTATTTCTCAAAAGTGACTTGGTCAAAAAATGATAGCTCAACAAAGTGGCGGCTTATCATGTGGACACTTATAGCAGCAAAATAATCGAAATAGTCTAAACGCATGAACTTGGGAAATGGAATTCCAGAATCGAGCAGCACGGGGAAGGAAGCAAGAAAGAGATGAGTGTTGATACCAAGTGTGGTGGTTCAATACGACGTGGATGACATGAAAATGGTCCATTTGCTTTCACTGCTGAAACGATCTTTAAAGCCATCGTGCAACTTGAAATAAAATGAGGCTGCGGTGCTAAATGTCCCAACACCAAGTTTACGGTAGATACCTTTGGGGTCGACCTGGCACAGGTAGGTGAGCGAGCAGCTGTTGGCGCCTGTTATGCGGACCAGGTATCCAGTCATCAGAGACACTGCACGCACACACTCCTTCTTCGCAGGGTATTTCTGGGGGAACGATAAAGACCAACATATGACAAAGTTAATCGACCAGTAGACTACCATTGATACCATCATCTTTGCAATCCTCACTATTGTTGTTGTCATCGTCTGCTTTATTACATTTTTGTCCACGTGTACATGCATATGTACAGCCGATTTGTCAATACATTTCTGAATGAGGGCCTCTTTGCTCGGTGGGTCAGTGTGGATTGGTGAAGGCGAGACATTGTAGCACAGTACAGTACAAAGGATCTTGCCGCATTTCGCTCTGCTGACAATGCAGCCGTGCAGCAGCCTACAACAGCAGCTCTGGCTCACTTATATTTTCATTCACTCATACATACTGCGTTTTATTATTTAACGAGCGTTGCCAACGAGCAACTGCAACAGGGATGGAAAAGCTTTTGAACATTAACGCCTTCCCATTTGAACATTCCCGCACCTCCGATGGTGCGAAAGAAGTTGAACATCGTACACACAATGTGGCATGGCGCCGCCCGTTAAAGAAAAAGACAAAGATAACAAAATGAGGCAGCCACACGCTCATACCCCGCCGTGCTGCCAGTGCTCACTAACGTCACGGGATGGAAGGAGCCCACAAAAGGCAGCCTGGCAATGGCAACCCCTCTTGCTGTCGTACGGCAAGTGACAACGCCTGCAATTCTGACATGCGGTAGATTCACGTTTCCCGACAATATAAGGACTGGGTTGGCGAACAACCGCAGCGAAGGTAAGTTTCATATGGCCCTTGGGGCAGACGGATCCAAGCCCTGTGGTTTTTTGCAGGAAAAAAAGATGCAGTTGAATTTCGAGAAGCAGTCAAAATAGCTTATGCCAACCCTCCTGCCACAAGTGGATTAAATACACGGAGATTCCTAATCTAGGCACTGCTGCCTTGCACCCAAAATAATCCCGACTGAGATACTAAATTATTCATACACAATGACTCTGCACTCAATTAGCTATGTCAGTATCACTTAATTATGTAAAGGATCAGGCAACATTTATTGTTATCCATGTTATGTGAAACTGCAAGAGATATTGTATGAGAATAAAGCCAATACCACGACAAAATCACTCAGAACGTGCCCGATCATCAAACCTCAAAGGCAAAGCGGAGTTGAGAAGGGATATTCCTTGTATGGGTGACGACCAACCTCAGAGGAGTTATAAGCTGAGAGACTACATCATGGAAAACAGAGGGACGTGTAGCAAATATATCAAAGGAATGTACTTCTGTGCTCTGGTGTCTACACTTCCTACCTTCATCAACCTGCACCGACCAGCATGCTGAAGTATGGCATTAATAATATTAACTTCTATTTCATAAAGCGCCTTTCATATTGAAGTATCTCAAAGCGCTGTACGTAAGAATACAACTACATCCACAATTACAGATGAAATCTAAGCGAAACAAAAAGTGAATAATAACTGCCAAGAACTACACTCCATGACCCGGACGGCCTGGTGAGGCTCTCATCCAGCAGCGGATTTACAAAGTGCTGTGCTTGTACGTACGTGGAGCCAACATGACAGAACTAAAGGAGGCTCATATTTTTAGCGTGCCTTACCGACCACGTATTTATTGTTCACTACAAATAACTAGGTCGGCACATCAAAGATGGCAGAGCATCGATCGGCTCTTCCGGTGCACTCGACCATCAGGCATCACCACCACTGTGCTTTAACTTTACAACAGAACCAACACGTGGCCACGGGCTGTCCTCTGCCCCTTGGGAGACACGCCATCCACTCTTTGACAAACCGGACGACAAGACGTTGTCGCAGCGCTGTATGGTGCCACCAAATTGGGAAATGTCTCTTGCAAGTATAAGAGATGTGTTTGCACTCTTTGGTTCTTTCGGTAAACTCACATAGGTGAAATAAAAACTAAATTAAATCACGTTTCGGAGGCAACACAAGGTTCCATCATCAGGTGACACAACCACAGCAAAAAACAGAATTTACCGAAAGAACCAAAGATTATGGATCTTTGCAGTCACGAAAACTTCAAATCTAGATGTGGTTAGTGCCAGCGTACAGCCTTTGCCTGCGTTTTGGGGGAATTTCTCACCGGGTGCTTGACGGAATGGTTTATGATCATGTAGGAATCGGGGAGGGCAAGCCAAGAGCGCAGTGTGATGAAATCCCTGTTCTTCAGAGGTTTGCATTTGCCTGTTACACATTGACACGCAGTACAAATTAGGCATGTAATGATTCATCAGTTGAAACAGTTTATTTCCTAAACGATGCATCAAAAGGTTTAATTATTTACAATCTCAAAAAATGCACGTCAAAATGACATGCCACCTTACATTCAAGTTAAAGCAACGCAAAACAAGAGGGGATGATGCGACGCAGCCAACGTGAAAGAGACCGTACAAACGAGATAGAATTTGAATCAACTTTTGAATCAATTTGACAAACTCAGTGGTGTGGGGGTGAATTATTACATTCCTAGTATACATGAGGCATCGGCGGGATGATGGTTCCACCCTCCCCCTCCCCCACCAGCATATGGAAATACAAATTAATAATTTCATGGTGAATGTATCGACCACTTGTGGCCGCAGAGGTCAAATGGGCCATATACATATACGACCTATGCTCACCAAAAAGAGACGTATTTTACTGAACACGACTGAATGGACGTATGATCTAACAATGTTATAAGGGGTAGACGTACTGCTTAGACATGTTTGTGTGCAATGCAAAAAAGCGGAGCATGCCTTGAGAATTGTTTTGAAATACGCATTGTAACCGCATATTGTCCATAAAATAAGTTTTAGGGTTTTATTTAAGACTGAAACAGGAGGAGGATTTCTCCACAACTCTGGCCGTCGCCTGATGATGCCTGATGCTGCTGGTTGTAATTACTGGTGAACCGTCATACTCTCCAACACACCGGTGTGCTGAACTAATAACGAATTGGTATGTTTTGTTCATGTGACAAACCTTACTAATTGGCTATGTTGGGTGGTGTCGGGTTTAAGGACACATCTATATTTATGTGATCTAATGCAAAAACCCCTATTATGGATACTATTCGCTGTAAAAGTCTGTGTTAAACGAACTGCATATATTGCTAAAATCAAAATACGAATAGACTGGCAGCGTCATTGGTATATATATATAAGCAACATTCAAATAATCTGTTGTATGCATGAATTCCATTTCCAATAGAAATTGGATCATTAAGGTGACATGCTTGCACCAATTAACAATACATCCATGTTAATTAAACGTGCTTAATGGGGTGATGAGCAATGGGGAACTGAGCACTGTATTTAGATTTCCTTGGATGAGCTGCGTTTCATATGTGATGGGACAATTGAAAGATGCAATGAATGTGGATTTATATAGCATCTAAATGTGACCGCATCTTAAGAGGATGTACAGAAATCTTGAGCATGTCTATTTTATGTTGAAGCAACAGATCATTGGCACGAGAAATAAGGTCATCAGCCTGAAACTTGAACTGGGGCAGAGTTGACAGCACGGATGGCTGAGAGAAAATAGTTTCACTCGCTGTGGGAATCATTATCGCTTAGCAACGGTAACTTTGGCTAGAGTAGCGTAATTTGAACACGTTTTCTAAGCTGATTCAGAATGTATTATCAACACTGTTTGGTTGCAGGACTAAACTTGTTCCCGCCTACAATGCAACCTGGTACTTATTAGTAAACGAAAACGAGCTGTACAAATTTTCCTCACGGGATTTTCCCCACACTTGTCAAAATGTATAAAATAAAACAAATATATAGATTTATGTAGTGCAAATGTACACGACTTAAATTTGTTCATGTAAATCATTTAAAATAAAATTAAAATCCATCAGGGTCAACGTAGACCACAAAAGCTCAATCAGTTCTTTAAAAGGCGCCTTTCTTAAACCAAGACCCTTGTACATACATTATTGTACTCCAATAAACCATGTAATTTGAAGAATTGTTATTTTTAAACCATACATGTGACACTATTTTACTATTCATCTGTAAAGGCCAGGATGAAGAGGTAAAGCCATGGAAGATGATGATCATCATCATCATCATCCACCCTCTGGGGTGGCTAAAATAACTACTAGCTTGTGAGCAATAACTCTGCGGAATGTCAAGTGACTGCCTTGTACACAGACACGTTCTTGCCACAGTAATGTACAATTTCCGCTGCTGCCATAGCAACCGCCGAAGCAAATACACAATAAATGTTTTTTTTTAACATAGGGAGACTAAATTTGATGTAAATGATCAGCTCATCCAAATTAAGGGTATACATAAATCTTACTAAAAGACACATTTACATGCTCTGCAGTTTCATCTGTATTATATAGTCTCTAAACCTATTGTAAGAGCATCACCTAGGACAGCATAGAAATATAAAACTAAAACACCTGTGAGAAAACATTTAACCAAACGATCAACTATGAACGATTTCTATTTTACCAGGTAAGGCCCAATGAGCAATGTAGTTCTTTTTCAGAAGCGACCTGACCACAAATGATTGCTCAACGAAGTGGCTTATCATGTTCACATTTATAGCAGCCAAACACTCTATAAACGCATGTTTCTAAATGTGAAGGGAAAAATCGGAGGACCCGGGGAAAAATCCACACGACCATGGGGAGAGAGAGACATGCAAACTCCAAATATACAACAGACATCAGGGTCGGGATGGAACTCACGACCTCCTCCATACCAGTCGAGGGAGTAAACACCTCGCACACCGCGGCGCCGAGTGTGGTGGAGCGGCACTCACATGAGTAGTAACCCACATCCGCGTTAGCCGTCAGCTTGCCAATATCAAAGGTTTCCACGACGTTGGAGTCCCACTTCTTCCGGTAGTCGATGTCGTGCAGGACGTCGTACATCGTTTCCGCCGACACATCCTTGCATTCCAGACGAGTCTGTGTTGCGATGTGTGTGTGTGTGCGCGTGAGTAGGTGATTGCAGGGTAGAGGGTTTTTGTACACGTGTAAGAGACATAAAAGGGACAAGGCAAAAAAGTGGAATTAATCAATATGAAATGTGAAATTTAGCAATGCAAGTAAAATTGCATTACTATACATGTGCCTTGTTCAAGCGCATTACCAAAAGATTGTTCTGTTAAAATTAAATAACACAGAACAGTTTTTGACAACGCACTGCTGGACAAAGGTCTTCACACACCATACCGATCTTGGGAGTTGTTTGACCACACTTCACCATGCTGGTCCGTGTAGGTTGAAAACTGAATTGGATTTTTACTCGCCAATGATATTAGCCGTGGCCAGGAATTTAACTCAAGTCACCAGGTTCCATCGTGTAAGGGACGAACCAATGCACCACAGCTGCACCTAATTGCGTCCGACTGAACTGGTATTACCTCAAGCACCCCTTTACCATCCACACTGAACAAAGTGGTGAAGTATGGCGTGGGGATGCCTCCCCATCTAGCAGAGGGCTGACACAGGTTTATTGCATTTACTTCGTTAAATAATCCAACTGCAGTGTATGCAAAACTAAGTTTATACAAACGAGAGATTATAGTGTTTACAAACTTCCATTCGTGGGCTATTTATGGAAACATATCACGCACGTAAACTGTGATATACACATTTGTTGACAAAGTCTGCTTTGAGTACCTTTGCTTCTCTAGGTCTCAAGCATCAATGACTTTGAAGTAAACGTAAGGATCTCATGAGAAAACCAGCTTCGTCAGTGTGGTTGAAGGTGTGTGCAGTAATGAGCATATCAGGGTGACATCTGGTCAAACTAGTTTTTCAACACAACCAGAACTCTGGCCTAGATATACAGGGTGCTTAAAAAATTAACCCGTAAAAACAAAGTTTTTCACTATAAATCCTTTATATGCGTGGCATCGGTTTTATTTTATTATTCATTTCTGTTTTTCTTGAGTAAGAGTTTCATTTTTATCACATTGGTATTTTAAATTAAACATGAAAAAAAAATTCCTAAAAAGTGGAACATTTTGGGAAAAAAAATTTCACGAACATTAATTGTCTCGCACGAGTCTGTGTGCAAAATGTCAGCTCGATTGGATGACGGGAAGTGGGTTAAAAAACGACCGAAAGATTTGCACGGTCGTAAGCACGCAAGCAAGCAAGCAAGTGAACTTAATATAAAGGATTTAAAAAGATGAACCCGATTTGAAATCGCTATATCTCTGAAATTGGGTCCATCTCTTTGAAACAACCTGTATGTAAAGCCAACCGAGAGATGTACATGTTAATAATCGTGTTCTTATATCAGAACATAAAAAAAACATAGACTACCAAGATTGAATTGCAAGTGTTCAGGCCAATATAAATAAGCTGGCAGATTCACAATCAGAAGGTTACTATTTCTCAAATCCTGGTAAGAAGTTCAATCAGTCATTCGTTTCTCTATGACTCTTAACATAAGCACCACTTTCCGGACAGTAAATAGTGCCTCTGTTCCAATACCCCACTTGCCCCTGCCACGGGAACGTGGAATTCCCACTACTGGCTCAGAATTGGTGGATAAAAACCAGATGCGCACCACCCCAGGTCGGTTGAGTAGAAAACCGACTTAAAACCACTCACAAATTATTTCTATGAACAAAAATATATTTTAAAAAACCCGGCAGTTACGTTGACACATAGGGGGCACAGAGGTACGCACTCTGGCAAGCCGAGGGGAAGGGGAGGGTGGAATTACGGCCAACTGTACAGACGAACAAAAAACCCGGTGAGCAAAGCAAGCATGGCGATGAGTCACCCTGCAATGAAAGGGGTTTATCTGTAGGGCATGATGCCTTGTCATTCACTGTACATCTCTTTTCAGGTCAGAAATGGGTTGAGAAATACCTACACATGCACAGAAGGGGGGGGGGGGGTAACAACCATTTGAACGATCAACAGCAAGGGCATTTTAGGAATGGTGCTGCCGCCACGTGTCCATACTTGACGTCAAATGCGTCTCTTCAGCAACACTTCTAAACAGGATACAATCGATGCTGTACCCGACCGGCAAAAAATGACAGACACGTCATTATGACCACGTATTTGCATGTAGGTGCGTCCCCACTTGGATGCGTAGGTCAGGACAGCGGACATTGCAAATTACTCAGCATTTGAGTGACACAGCAAGCAGAAACATTGCTTCATGTTAAGGGTCATCCTGTGTTCAGCCTTTTGAAATGTATCCAAATCGGTGACACAAAACTAAAAGAGGCACGTCCATGGGATGCAACAGGACACTTTATTTAATTTATAAAGGCACGACCAGATGCCAGGCACTCGGTTTTCAAAGAGCGCAAAGCGTTGGGGTCAGCTTGCCTTCTGATGCAGTGTGTGTATCGTATAACGATTAATTCCACGGTGTTACACAGAGAAGCAGCTCACGAGGACAGCCTTCTCTGCTGTCTGTAGCTGCATTAATGCTGTTAATATAATAGAGACGTGCGCGCGCACACAACGCATCGGTCGGCAGGTGGTCAACAAAACGGATACCCACGTAGCACAAGACATATACGGGTAATGCGCACGTTAAACAGAAAATGTACTTTGTCTAATTGATTGCTTGTGAAATTTTATTTATAGCGAATTATACAAAAAATTCCCGCAAGATGTCTGCTTATTGTGGAAATGCACCTGATCCTGATGCCACCTTGAAGCTATCTGAATTTAATGGGTTTTTTTTCACCTTGGCATGAGTCACACAATAACAAATTATGGTGACAGGAAAAATAAAAATTGCAATACTCAATGAGCACTTACCCAAGATTAATCTTTTAATTTAATAATTTAATATGTATGCAAGGATGAGTTGCTATGAAAAACATGGAAAAAATTACATGTGGCATGGCATTAATATCGAAATAATGAAAACAACGAACACAGGATTATGCATTTGAAATTCAATCCACGTTAAGAAACTAAACTCAACAACAACAAAAAAGCTATGACATGACACGGGATTGGAAAAAAAACCATGGGGTTGGATTCTGTCCCTCTGGCAAATTCCACCACCGTGTCGTCTTCACGTCGATGAGGTGCATCTTTCATTGCAGCACCTCCCCTAAAACTAAAACATTCGTCTCCCACGATGCAGGAATGTGCACGTCTTTTCACCCACCTCCAACCATCGCTGCATCACAACCGCACATTTCGGCTTCACACACACACACACACAAGGGCGACGAATGGCTTATTTAAATGCAAATTCTGCATTCTTTTTGCAGCCTATTTTGAAAACGTGACGCGTTTGGTCTCGCAATGTTGAAAACGGTTTTTTTTTCAAACGGTTTGCACACAAGCGTGAATCTTTGGCCAAATCTTGATTGTAGACTGCAGGATTTATGTTAATGTGGCCAAGGTATGTCAGGGTATCGGGTTTACTTTACAAATGAGTGTGTTGGAAATACCCACATCCCTTTCCTCTTTTGCTTGACAGTTCCAAGTAAAAGATTTTTGTGAAAGTAACAAATTTATTAATTAAAGTCGGGTGAAGCAGTTGCACAGTGTTCAAGGTAATGCACGATGAACTCGGCGATCTAAGTTCAATTTGACAAACAGCAGTGGCAAGTGATATGTTAACCAGCACTGGGCTCCACTCTTCTTAACCCGCACTGATCGGCGTGATGAAACATCGTCAAACAACCCCATTATACTTGACATCGTATGGGAAGGTTTTGATCCAACAGTGGATTGCCAAACGGTTGTTAATGATTATTGCGAAGTAACACAAAGTCCGCGTTGATTTCAGCAATACAAATTCTCAAAAATAACGTTATATCTGACACTATACAACCCATGTGAAATGAACACTTATTGCAATCTTCCTAAAAAATACAACATGCTTTAGGTGAAAATATCTCTATCTTTAGAGGCCAACAAAGGGCTGTGAAATTGTTAATAAACATATGTTGACTACATAGGGAGTGATGACGAACGGCTTGGATAATAAAGCGATATCTCAACACATCACGGGGAGTTAAAACCTGTGTTTCTTGGCAACTATCACCGTACCACTGTTCTGAGGTCCCCAGTGCTATTTGCGTAACCTATACCCTCTCCACATGGATGGCTGTAAGCTTTGTTAGAGGAACACATTTTATTAGTCAGCAGAGAAAAATACAAGGCCACACGAGATAATCTAATTCTAGGACGATAATAAACTTCCTTTCTTAACAGTATCACATCCACGCAAAGCGGTCGGTGGGTTTCAGGACTGTGAAATTCATGCCACTATCGATAACAAAATACAAAAGCTTTTGAGATTTAAAAAAATAACCTCATTTATACAATAACAGTGTACCAACTTGAGCAAATATTTAAAAGTCTTCAAATTCAGTTAAATATATTTTAAACAGCAGCTTTCATTGAACATTTTTTTTGTGGAGAGGCCAAGAGAATGTTTGAACATAAAAAACTCCGCAAAATCCCATTGTTGTGATTTGGACCACAAGATCCCACTACGTTTTCCAGTGCTAACTATCTCAAACGTTAAAGAGATAAATATTCAGTGTTAAATAAAATAAATCTTAAGAAAATAAGCAAAATATTACACTGCTCCACTCTTCCACAAACTTGTTGGCAAAACACAAGGAATATTAAATGATGCAAAGCCATTTATTTAGTTTTATAATTAAGCATTTCGTAGCACCCAGTCAATATATTGAGCAGTGTCATGTCCCACACGATACAGCAATCTCACTACGACAATTCACAAGAGTATTCATGTACTTAATAAAACAAAGCTGGCATTCATATTAGGTATCACACAGAGTCGCTGCTAAGTGTTTTCAGCAAAGTGCTTCATGTGCAGGGCGACTTCCTCTTGTGCCGCCAGACAAGCCGTTATCACAATGACTACAGAGCGTGCGCGATAGCCACGCTTTTTGAGTTGCTGCTGTGATCAGCAGGCTTACAACTCATCCAATCTCTGCTCTTAACCCAAAAGCAAATGTAAGATTTTAATAATAGAAAATGCATGGAATTATTCTGTAGTTTGGAGTTATCTGGATTTGTAACTCTCCTAACGCATGTGCTGGAAATGTTAATTCCATATGTCACAGCAAGTACATTTAATCACAGATGACAGGAGCAATGGTGGAGAATATTCTTTTTGTACATCACTACAAATGGTGTAAGCCAATATCTTTTGGGGAGTATTCAAATAGACCGAAACTGCTTGGCTCTTGTCATCACTTATTTATAGTCAAATGAAATATGACCATGACCGGCACAGACAGACACAGTGAGCGACTGACTACCTTATAAAAGTTTACTCAGGCCAGTAACAGCATCTGTAATACAACTCAACCCCAAACCCAATGAGTCTCTGGAACAGAAGAAATATTCTCCAATGCCACACACAGCCGCACAGCTATTAATACAGTAACAGCCATATACTTTCCAACCCAAGGAACATTCAATTGCAGCAGTAATGGCACTATAAATATATTAGTTATTTTAAAAAGTTGTGAACCTCGGACTGTCTTTCCATCCAACTTCAACCCCTTTATTTAGCATGGTTGGCTACGTACGGTGCAAAAGAAGCTCAATATACATACGAAACGGTTTATTCATTTACAATAACATCTTTCCATTCAACCAATTTTCTGTAAATAATTCCAAACATATTCCACACGGGTCGCATTCATTGTGAAGAAGAGTGGGCTTGGCCAGGCCGTGTCAGGTCAGTACAAACGACAAAGTGGTAACTGGAGGAGCTAAGACACCCCCACAAGAGGGTCAAGAGACGGAGCGATGAAATCTGCTCGTGGCCAGGAGCTCGATGGATTTTTACACTGCACAACTGTGAGCTTGTGGAGGGTATTCATCCAGCTGTGGACAGAGCGTGGCCAACGATCTCAGACCAAGCTGTTAACATAATCGAAATGGTGCTTGGAAGTGGAGTTGACTTAAAACTGAAAAGCAAATTTGTTCTTTAAAAAAAAACATTACAACCCTTGCGGTCCAAGTGCTCTCCATGCGTCAGCAAGCGGCCTTCAGCGGTGTACGGTGACGCGGCTTAAGGTGTGGTTGCATATGTTGCGGAATGAACCCGTGCACGAGGGCAGTTGAACACGTCAGGGCAGTTCCACGTGTCTACCTGCGTGCGGTCGGTCTCACGCGTGTGTGTTCTCAAACGAGTTACCTTTTCCTGCTTCCTTGAAAAAACCGGTGCTCGCCAATTAAATTAGTTCCCAAACCCACCCCCCCTGACATAAGACAACAATCACCAGCCATTCATTCTATCACGATTTCAGATGAGCACCGGACACCATGCAAAATAAAAGCCACAACCAATGCGCGTCTCAACATTTGTCATTAAACATTCCACGTGTCGACTGTTTTCAAGGGCCACTTGGTGCAAAGTTAACCTACTACAATAAGCTGTTTTGTTGTTGTTGTTGTTGCTATAAGGCCATAGTTAACGATTACGCCGATTAGTTTTGTTTAATTGTACTTATACATGACTGCTTATGAAGTGCACATTTTCATTCATTTTAATGTCAAATTCAGCGAAGTAAGCCACAACACCCACACGACAGAACCTTTTCCAACCCGATGAAAAAAACCCCGCCATGGCCACTTGCTTCACAAGTGTGTCCCAAAGACTGACATTGATCTTGACCTCAAATATGACAATGTGAAAATGTGTTATCGCTCGGCGCTATGGCGTGCCAGTTTGTGACGTGGGATGGAAAAGCTGGGTGGGTAAGGTAGCAAGTGTGAGACGAGTGAGTGCGCAGGCATTACATTGGTGTGCGCTATCGTAGCTGAGTGCATGCACACCCCTGTCAATCCACTGCTGGATGAGGGCCTCCCCATGCCGTATGGGTCATGGGGTTTATTTGACCATATTTCACCGTGCTGGTTAGTGTGGATTGGTCAAGACGGGGAGCATGGACAGTACACTGATAGATTTTGTTTGATACACTGCAGTCTGCCAACATCGCCCCAGACGGTAGCTTGGTAGACAGGTGGAGAGTTGTGTGCCACGTTCAGGTAGGTACATGTACATCACATGAGCCGTTGTTAGGTGCTCGACTCATTAAACTCGGCAGGTGATAACTGAACATACGTATAGCACACTCAAGGAAGTAGACTTGGTGGGCAGGAATTAGCTGGGTAACCAGGTGACCCTAAGATGAGCAAGAGTACACTGGGTAGTAGGTTAACCCAGGTGTGTACATCTATACGTAGACCAGCTGTGTGCAGATAAAGTTAAGAAAATGTGCAAATTCACCTTGTTTTTACTATAACTTAGGTAGGAAACTAAAGCCAAGTTATTCCTTAAGTTGTTTAGACCAGATGTGTGCAGAACTGATAACCAGATTTGTGCAGATAAGGTAAAACAAGCCATGAATGTACAGGTAATGGCAACCCACGTGTGTTTCAGTGTAGTATAAAGCCAGGTATCTGCAGGTAAAGGGTACACCAAGTGTTTAAAAGTAAGCCAGGCATGTGCAGCTAAACCAGGTATATCCCTAGAAAGATAAGACAAGCCATGCATGTGCTGGTCAAGCTGCCGTCTATATTATGTAAGGTAACCCAGATGCGCACAGAGACGGATGCTGGTTAGGTAACCCCAGGTGTGTGCAGGTACAGTTAAGCTGAGTGTGTGCATGAACAGGTACAACACAGGTAAGGTAACCCTTGATGTACAGGAACAGGTACTGGTAAGATAATCCAGGTGTGCATTAGTACAGGTAACCCAGGTGCGCAGACATAGGTACAAGTAATCGAGGTGTACAGACACAGGCAACCCAGGTGTGTGCTAGCACAGGTAGCCTAGGTGTCTCCAGACAAAGGTAACCCAGGTGTGTGCAGACAGGTACAGGTAAACCCAGGTGTGCGATAACAGGTACAGGTAAACCCAGGTGTATGCAGACAGGTTCAGATAACCCAGGTGTGCCATGACAGGTACAGGTAAACCCAGGTGTGTACAGACAGGTTCAGGTAACCCAGGTGTGTGCAGACAGGTACAGGTAAACCCAGGTGTGCGATGACAGGTAGACGTAAACCCAGGTGTGCGATGACAGGTACAGGTAAACCCAGGTGTGTCCAGACACGTACAGGTAAACCAAGGTGTATGCAGACAGGTTCAGGTAACCCAGGTGTGCCATGACAGGTACAGGTAAACCCAGGTGTGTACAGACAGGTTCAGGTAACCCAGGTGTGCGATGACAGGTACAGGTAAACCCAGGTGTCTCCAGACAGAGGTAACCCAGGTGTGTGCAGACAGGTACAGGTAAACCCAGGTGTATGCAGACACGTACAGGTAAACCCAGGTGTCTCCAGACAGAGGTAACCCAGGTGTGTGCAGACAGGTACAGGTAACCCAGGTGTGTGCAGACAGGTACAGGTAAACCCAGGTGTGTGCAGACACGTACAGGTAAACCCAGGTGTCTCCAGACAGAGGTAACCCAGGTGTGTGCAGACAGGTACAGGTAAACCCAGGTGTGCAGACATGTACAGGTAAATCCAGGTGCGTGCCAAGCTCAACTCACCTTGAGCTTCTGCACGAAGGTGCCGTTTCGCAGCGGCTGCGTCCACACGGCCACTGTGCCCTTGTTGTAGGTGACGTCCCAGCCATCCGTGCTCTCACAGTCGTTGCGGAACGACTGAAACGCCTCGTCGTCTGGGATCTGGACAGTCTCTCCCTTGGACATTGTCTCTCTCCAGCTGCCCCTGTGATGGGGACCCCGAGTGTGGTTGGTGGTGGTAACCTGATAGACCTCCGCTTGTGTGCGTGTTATATACACACACACGTGTTTAAGCTACGTGCGCGCGTTGGTATCTACGTCCTTGGTATCTATGTCCAGTGTCTACGTGTGATCCTATTTGTGTGTAGGTATCTCTGTGTGTGTGCTTGTGTAATGTTCTAAATCAACACTAGGCGCGTTTAGAGTGTTTAAATACTCGGGCTACAGTACACGGCCCACTCGCTGGCACTCTCAAGTGCGTAGACCCGGAGCTGCAAGTCGACACGGCAGATGTTGTCAATGGATTTTTGATTTATTTTAAACAATTTTTTTGTAATTCTACAAAACGTCGTCTTCGCAATGAATTATTAGCGACAAGCGAGAAAATCTGTGCGGATTGTAGTAGATTAGTAAATTAGTAATGTTGTTGTTGATGTTGTCACCCACCGCCGCTATTTAGACGCCGAAGCGCCGTGGTTGGCCACGTCGTACGGAGCGAGACACGCGAAACATTAAAACACAAATGTTTAAAAGCAATACGCCGATAAAACCGGCACTGCCGTCTACCTCGACAAAATTTGATGCGAATTACAACAAAAATTCCTCTAAAAAAATCGTAGTTTTATCCTCCCCCTCTCAAATATCTAACGTGAGGAGGATGAGCAAGGGGGGTGTGTGGATGGTGGTGGCAATATGATGATGATGTGGATGAAGAGAGGAATATGATGATAAAGAAGAGAACAATATGATGATTAAGAGAACAATATGATGATGATGAAGACACAGATGATGATGATGATGGGTTGGTGGTGGCTGAAGAGAACAGGTGAGGATGATGACGAAAGCGGTCGTGAAGAGAACAGCTGAGGTGAGGTTGGAGGAGAACAGATGAGGTGAGGTTGGAGTAGGACGGTAGCAGCTGAGGAGAACGAGTGAAGGCCGACGGTGAAGGACCAAGCCAGCAGCAGGAGGAGGAGGAGGAGGCGGCGGAGTGGCGCTGAAGCCGCTGCAGGTGACGCCGAAGATCCCGAGGGCGGAAGCGATTAGCCGCTGCCGCGTCATCACCAGAAATCGTAGAGCGGATAAGAGGCCCTCACCTCACCCCCCTCCCGTGAGCGCCTCACGCCATTGGCCAGGTGGCGGTCACACGGGGCGGGGGGCGGGTGGGGTCGTCACCGTGGCGCGCGCGCGTGCTTATCCGGTGTGGTAAATGTAATGCCGTTGCTTTAAATATCAAGCTGATCTGGATTTGTAAATAAATAAATAAACACAATTAATGCAGTGTTAAGCATTATTAGTCTCCGCATAACAAAACACATGTTGAAGCCTTATCGGGTTAATCGGTTTATTGGTTTCCCAGACCAATATTATTATTATTATTATGCAGCAGATGTTTTTGAAAACACACTAAACTCGTGGCTGGTTTCAAGCTGCTGTGTTCTCATCAGCAGCCAGGCTTTGTGAAACAAATGCTGCTGCTGGGTGACCGGATTGTTATTGGCAAGAGCACTCCAGCCAAAATGTTGTGTTCTCCCCCCGTTCAACGTCGAAAAGCAATGTTGCCAAACAAACTCATGAATTGTTATGAAAGAATAATGTTTTACCCTTGCTGGCAATAAAACAGTATTAAGATGTTCAACACCAATTAAGAAACCTCTTGCAAGGAATCAAGTCTGCATTAACCACACGTACTTGCGGTGAACATGCAAACAAACACGCTCTGATAAAATATGGCATTATCTTTGGAACTGATTGGCCTACACCAGACATAGCAGCCTTCTTTATGGCCAAGTCTCACCAGAGTCAGACCAGAGAACGCCAAAAGGCGAACAGTCCAATGACAATGCACGTACCAGAGCATCTCTCGGTCATGAGACCTTTTTGCCAGTATCAATCCTCGAGAAAAAAACGAAGGAATTACACTTTTACTTGTTATGAAAGCGTAATCACTTCTTTTTCTCCCACATATAAATAAAACAAAATAACTACGTCGCGTTAGTCCATCAGCCTATTGGCCATCTAGATGAATATTATCACACTCTGGGCCGGTTTCCACTTTCTGATTGTAATCAGCAGACCAGTGCTTGTTAAAAGTGCCTATGGATTACCAGATGTTACCGCATTGGCAAACGCATTCGGTATAAACTATTGGATGCAGTTTTGCGCAATGAGTTTGTTTGGGATTTTTTGTAAATACGTTTTGATGATGTCAATAATTAATACGGGGGTCTTTTTTAACCCCCCACCCCCTTAACACCATCCACAAGGTTTATCTGCAACTGATCCTATTATAAAATGTGAGATGCATGTTACCGTATGGAATACGAATTACACACACGCCTTTGTCAAGGCTCTCTTCTCCTCTAACCCAGCTTAAATATACGCTGCCAAGCTTGGTGGTGTTCATTCAGACGCTGTCTTTCCGACAGCCCTGTTCTTTACCTGAGGACGGCTGCTTGCGTTGTAGCCGAAACGTCGTGAGAATTGTATTTTAAAATGTTTCATTTTTATTATTTCCCTTCTACGTGACTTTACCGAAAGAACCAAGAAGATGAATTACACACAGTACAGTATCTGCATTTCCTTAATCATTGTTCCTGTATACAAACTTGCCACTCCCTTATTAACCCAGCTACCTTTCTGCACGACACATAGCGTCCAAGCCGTGTTTTATTCAATAGTTGGAAGTCACTCAGAGCAAATGCTTCACATTGGGAAGTCATCAGAGGTCAAACAAGACCCGGTTCATTCGTACCAAAACGCACCGCGTGTCAACAGGTGTTCTTAAAAGTGGAATTCCTTAGTTCTTTCTCGGGGATTACCAAGCCCTTTAAGATGTTTTTTTCTTTCATTCAGAAAAGTAGCCTGGGGCAAGTAAAGAGTATGACGTGTACTATTGCGCAATGAACCTGTTGAACTGGTCACGTGAGCTTTATATATTTCTTGGTTTTAGCCGTGGAATCATCTCGACTCGGCTATTCAAACTCCGTTCAGGCGCAACCTCGCCAAATCCCTCATCTCCAAAGTCCCATGTGATGATCCAAAAGGTCTCTCTCTGCCACGTCACCCCAAAAACAGCCCTGTACTCAAACCCCTGGATCAATGTCCAGGTCGCACTCGCCGTATTCACTATAATCCATTCATTCGTTCTTGCCTACATCTAATTTCTCATCCAAGAACCAATGCTTTCTATGAAAGCCCGCAGCCAAAATTGTAGTATTGGTCAATGGGAGGGTTCCTCATTCTCCTCTGCCACTCATATATCACACCAGTCAGAGCAATTCAGACCTTATTGGTCACCCCGTGCCCTTAGACATCTCAACGTTCATCCTACAAAGTCCCATCACAAACAAATAGACAGACACAAATTTGCCTGGATTTAAACAGCTGTACGCCGTATAGGCCTGAAAACTCAATGTCCCTGGACAAGGATACGGGTAAACCGTATGGTTTGACAGGTATGGGATAGTGCGTTACTCAATTCGGCTCAAACATCCCAATGCTGAATAATTTCCCGCAAGTTACTCGATTGGGATTGAACGTAACGACACCACCCCCTACTGCGAAAACGTGGCAGGACCCCCGCTGAAAAAAAAGAGTGATTCTCTCCTGGGTAAAGAAATGTAAACATAATCATGAGTAATAATACTCCTGTCCAAAGTTCAAGTCCTTATCTTTTCCTCTGCCCATGACTGACTGCATCACGCTACAAAATAAACACGGCCACTGTTTCTGTACAGATGCCCTCGCATTTAGAGGCTACGCCAGGGGGTCGGAAACCAAAACAAGATTAACAATATTTTTTGAATTCGGTAAAAAGTAAAACCTCAACATTTCAAGGGCCGCAATGCACTGTGTGGTGGATACGAGACGGTGGATCCTTCATAATAACTGTCACGAAGCAGTTCCTGAAAGAGCCGCTGCATATGGCCCCCAAGCCGTAGGTTGTCGACCCCTGGGTTAAACAAATCCAAACTGTATTAGTGACGTGCAATTGTTCCAGTTTCCTACTCGTAACTCCCCTTGCCCCACCTCAGAAAACGTTGAGACACTGGCCGGACACTGCCATCGCAGTGGCACCGCAATTTAAAACACCCTGTCCCTCCAACCGTCAAATAAGATATCAAGGCCATCATCGGACACTGCTTGTGACCTTGAGACTCAGAGGGAAGAGCTCATGAATTGTAATGCTGAACCCAGATGTAATAAAATAGCCATTCGTCAACTCCTAATCAGCTAGAAGGTTATTTATATAAAGAAGGGTGGGCACGAATGCTATCTTGACAGCCGTTTTTTGGGATTGAGGCCAGAATTCGAGAAGGTTTGCGCCAGCTGCCAAGTTCAGCACCCTCTCTCCTATCCCAGCACTACAAACACGCCCCAGATATGCATTTACAGCTGAGTCAACTTAGGCAAGAAAAAAAAATCCAATTTAATTATATTGTTTCTTTTAATATTTCACGTGCTGGAATGAAATATACATAGCACCAAACATTTATCTTTATTATTGGATATGCCCTAAATTGTAATGATTTTTCAAATCTATTGATTTTGACAAAATGAAGGTGAATTATTTGATTAGCTTCTAAAGATAAATGTATTTCTTAAGCATATCTCATTAAGTAGTGAATGAAAACCAGTGACTTAAATTGACAGTTTTATTTTTACATTGCCTATTCTTTCTGATGTCAGATTCTCTACTTAAATACAGAGGCAGAAATTCCCTGATAACTCGATCTCCATAAGGGCCGTTCAACGATGTTGAACATACATTTTAAACGCTTTGAAGATGTGGATAATCATTAGTATGATCGTAGTGGCTTTTTTACTTGGGCGTAGTATGTCAACCATTAGGACTGTATAACGTCCGAATAAATAATGTCCGCCTTTCTTGGGATAAATGCTCGAAAAATACCAGTGTTGGACGTACTCAAGACGATCTGACATTTCTTCATCTGCACTGGGAAAGTGATCCCGCATGTCCTATGTTCTAAATGTGTCGATAATTACTTTCGCAGATGTATTATTAATGGGATGACGTTCAAATGTGATTGGGAGGTTGCCTAATTTGTAGAAGTATCCATGGTTAACAGAGAGAATACAACTTGTATGTCCATACTCCATTCGCCTGGTCACTGGTTTACTCGTTGCTGTGGTACCTGTTCCAAGCGTATTCGGCGTTTTAACACGTAGGCTTTCGTGACCAATATTATTCATAATAAAGTTTTTGGGTTATATCGCGTAAGTATAAATGTGTCGTAACCCTCCACCACCCGACACGACCAATCAGCAAAAAAGTGCCGGGTGGTGGAGGGTTACGACACATTTATAAATAACGCGATCTAATCCAAAAACGTTTATCATGAATGAACATTTATATTTTACTTATTTATCCAGGAAAGCCATGCCGAGTCGTAGGACGCCTTTTGCTGGAGGGTCCTGCATTTGGGGCTTTTTACTTGAAATGTTTTCGGAACAATTAATGAGTGGAAGGAAACTCGGAAGCGCCCAGAGAAAACCACGCGCATGCGAGCGGGCAGCACTTTGTCCCCGTGCAAATGTAAACACAGATGACAATTGGTCCACTTGCTGGACATCCCTCTCCTGGCGAGCTAGCGCACCTCGACGACAAGGGAGTTGCACAACATTTGTGTGACCCACCAAACCTCGCTTCTGCCTCCAGTGCTGGCTTAGAGGCATGCACCATCACCACCCGGCCCAATCTTGCTTGTACTGTACGCCTTCCCGAATACGCTATTTGTTTTTTTCTTAAACCAAATTTGGACCGTGATGCCATCACACACTGCCTACCCTTTTTTCGAATAACGTGAATAGGATATTTTGAAATGTTCAACTATGAAGCATACGACGCGAATTCTTACGGCTAATACACCCACGGTATTAATCAGGGTGGCCTCTGGCCCTCGAACCATGACCCCCTCTGCAACGAGAGAGGCAAACGCGGCTACCCGCAGACATGTGATTGACATGGCCGCTTCCTTGTCGCCACAGTAAAGACTGCCTTGGCCAAGTTTTACTGCCTTGCTCAAACTTCCATTGTGTTGAAATATCGGAGCTATACGGTATACTTTACATTTCGTAACTTGCTTATCTTTTTCTAGAAATTGCATTCTTAGCGTTTTATTGTTTGTTGTTGTAGATTGCTGACCCGCCCCTACTGGGAATGTGGGAAAAAAGCGCTTCATAGCTCATCAGATTCCTCCTTGAGTCTACTGCCACCTCCACCCATGCACCACGTTACAACCACCACGTTACAACTACCGAGCAGGAGAGCGTCACAGATGAATCGGTGTCGACGTTTGTTTAGCAATGCAAATGGTGAGCCAAGCGCACATACACACACAGGGGATGTTTGCAGCGATTCGGGAATGTACCCTTAATGAGCATCATGCAGTTTAAAGAAAGCCCCATGAAATGTTTGAGTATTAAAATAATGCGTAAGTGGATCATGGTTGCGAATAATAATTGTATTCAATGTTGTCCTCACAAAAAGCTGGCGAATACATCGGAGTGGTAAATATTCAGTATACATTTTCACCGGGCAAACTTGTGCATTAAAATAGACATTTGTATAATTTTGTTTTATTGAATTTCAGTACAAATAAATGCTTATATTCCACGTCGGGTGTGTAGAGTACTCTATATGGCCACGAAATATTATTACATTTGCATGCGTGTTGAAGATTGAAAAATAAAAGGCATGCAATGAAATACTGCACATTATTTCAACCCGTCATTAAAATAATGAACACGGACTGCAAGAATCGAGACGTGAAACGTTTTTTTCTTTCTGAAAGTGAATAAATGTTCGGGAAATAAAAAAATTGTAACCACAGTTTACTTCAAAAAAATAGCTATGACCGTATAATATAGACATCATCAGAGCAATGAAATCATCACGTCTCTTGGCATTGTTTATAAAACGGCACTCGTGTATTAGTCGGACCAATTCAACTGGTCCCAAAATTTACGCTCGAACCCTGTGCAATGGGATCGTTAACGACTCTTCCGTGTGACGTCCCCGACTTATTTGTGCTCGGTGTGCATTCGGCGGTGTCTGACAAAGTTGACAATTCAGCACACACGCAACACACTGCTCAACTACCTAAAAATAAATCCATATGCTGAGTTTGCAAAAAGCAAGCCATCTATCTGTCGTCGGCAATTGGAGCAGCAGTCGCGTGTGCCCGATGTAAAAATGCCTTCAAGCGCAGTGGGTTGTGCGGAGAAGTGAGTTTTAATTGAGTTGTCTTTTTTGTTTAATCCTTTATATTAAGTTCACTTGCTTGCGCGCTTACGACCGTGCAAATCTTTCGGTCGTTTTTTAACCCACTTCCGTGATCCAATCGAGCTGACATTTTGCACACAGACTCGTTGTGCGTGACAATTTATTTTCGTGAAATTTTTTTTCCAAAATTTTCAACATTTTAGAAATTTTTTTTATATTTAATTACCAATTGCTTAATGGTGGCAGGCAATCATCTGACCCATAGGTGGCAGCCATCTCAAGCCAGAGGACGAGAGGACTCTAGCCGCCCGTTTCAAAGACCAATGTGGGCTGGGTTGTGGCCCATTGAACACGTACTGTAATTTATTGTCTTGCTCTTTGTAAGAAACAGAAAACACAGCAAGGTCCTCCTGTCATGGAATGTAATGTAAACCAATCGAAAGCAAACAACAATAAACGTGTGCCTATTCGCATATAAAGGATTTATAGTGAAAAACTTTGTTTTTACGGGTTAATTTTTTAAATAGTGAACTCGGTGCCAGAGAACTGTTAGGAAAGTGTAACCCTCATCCCCCATCCTCCCACAGAAGCTGTGATTGGTAGTGGCCAGCCTCATGGCACCAATATTTAGTGCAGGTATCCCTCGAATTACAAACGTTCGGTTTACGAAATGTTGCGTTAACGCAATTTGACATTAATTCCAACATGCAGATGTTTTAGCGAGTGCCCCGAAAAAGTGAACGCTTGTGTTGCGCCCGAAACGTCGTGATTTATTTTATTTTATGCCTACGTGACTTTACCGAAAGAACCGAAGAGTATGGATTCCTGCAGTCACGAAAGCTTAAAATCAATCGTATTCATATTTATTATAATTTTAGTATCGTGAAAAGTGATGTGTATAGTTTTTATATCAGGAGCAGAATTATAACGACTATCCGAAACCCATTCTTAATTTTTCGTATTCAATTAATGTGAAAAAAAAATTATTTACGAAATTTACGTTTTTACACGTTTTTTTTTTAAAGAACGCATCCTTTCGTAAATCGAGGGATACATATGAAGCAGTACACTATACACGTCGAAATGGAAGCACAATAATTCTAAATCAATCATCCCGCCATCATCCAAACAGGGTAACGTTCAATTAAAGTATTACACTGCAGAAAATATACAATTGTAAAAAAAAAACAAATACAAAAATGACAGCCAGCTGAAAGAGGGTGCGGGTACAAGTGAGAATAGTGGGAAACAGACGTGGCTACGTTAGCGATTACCGCCATGTCAATGGAAAAAGTAGGCAAAGAAATTACGGTAGTGCATTTAGGTTAACACGTATCACAGCCACTCGTCAGAGATATTCCACATTCAACGTTGGAGGCCGTGAAGATACGATGCTGTAGTGTGCGATGCATTATATTGAGCGACGTATCCAATGACGTGTTCTTTAAGCGTTACGGGTGTGCAACTTTGCGTCAATTTCATCGATTAATATCGAATCGTAAACTCAACGATGCACCCGTCTAGAATCGCTGTTTTTGAGAAAGTGTCCAGAATGGATTTGACGACGTGACCCCTTGCAGTCACTAAAAGGCCGCTACATTCAACGCATTGGATACAAAAAATGTATTCTTGAATCAAATCTCGAGTTTCGAAGGTGGGGCGATGATTCGTTGCACCCCGACTCAACATGGTGCAAAACATATACAGTATATGACTCTATAGACCCCACAAACACAGAACAGTCTTGCTCCAACACACACATGTAAAGTGTTTAATCCATGACGGACAAATGTATATACACACCTAAATGGTAAGTATGTTTGTCAATATAAGAGAAGAAGTTAAGTATTTACTGCGGAAGGAAACGTCAGAAAGTTGATTGATACAGAACATTGCAGCGCTGCCATTTGTGGCCTTGTTAATCATGGCATGATGAACCTACGGGCAGTTTTTTTCAATCCGCCCGCCTCTGTACACCCGACAGTATGAATGGGGGCACACTCCTACAGTTATTCGATCAGCAGGCTGTGGATGTATTGGCCAGCGCGAAAAGGTGGCCCAAGATACCCTTAAGAGGAGCTCTCGAGAGCTTCCTGCAGTTGAGGTCCTTTTCACCAGCAGTGAATGTCGCAGTCCTGTGTCTAGAAGGGCGACTCCCTCGGCATGGATAATTCTTGCACCCACACAGACGCAAACTGAGATTTTAACACCCAAAAGCCGCAGCACTGTTGTTAAGCATGACTTAATACGTGAGCTTAATTGCGACGTATAAAGCGGGTTTCATCTAAATGGATTTGGTTTCAAGATTGTCTTCGTAATTTCGGCTCCTACGGCCAAAACAGTCAAGACAGCGGTGGCGCAAGGCCTGGAATTTATACGGTGCTGTAATTTCAGCGACAAAAATACACCGAACCAGAAGCAACTACCAGCGTTGTGAAAAAATAAATGGTCTGAAGCCAATGGTACGTTAGCCGTTTCATCGAAAATAAATCCGTTATAACGTGAAGGTGGAAATTCAGTTTGCGAGGACAGGCATTCGATTGTCATTGATTGGCTTCAATCTGTCTGGTCCACCTTGTAAAAAATTGCAGCCAAGAATCCAACGTACGTGGAAACGCCTTGATTTGACCCCTAAGCGACAGGCAATCCAGTCGGAACGTCATAGTAACAGGGTTAAGAACGATGCCAGTGCATATTTCAGGACAGAAATAATAAAACACGGTGCGATGTCATCACATGGATGGTTTCATTACAAGTACAACATAAATTATAATCAATTCCCCATCAAGTTCATTATAACAAAAAACCATTGGCTTTAGAAACTCGATACCCTATATGCCGCATTGTGACTTTTGAATGAAAATGGTGTCATTTTATAGACAATAATTTTGTTTTTAATATTGTGCTTCGTAAGCTCTTAAGACAATTAAAATGCAATGCTTTTGTTTATTGCCATACATCTATTTTCATATAATCATGTGCACGAAAGTTCGAGTGATTTGTTTTTGCCGAATGGCATTATCCTCATGCAATAAATATATCAAAATAATTCTGCTGAATGGAAGTGTAACATGAATTTCACATTTTCGCTTTTCGTCACGATTTTCATCAACACGTTCAAGACTGCAACTACAAATCTTAACCAGACATATCACCGTTGCCAGAAAACAGGAGACTACAGATGCGATGTAGGTGTGGATGTTGACATGGTTGAGCTCACTTACAGAGCTCGAGAACAAAGCATTGAGGCCACTTATACAACTCAATAAAATGTCACTCTATACGGTCTAAGGAGTAAGACCCACAAGGGAATGTAGGATCCACAGCCATTCACGTGTAATGACAGCAAGCAGCCCTGTACGAGCAAATAGATTATAGAGAAGGGAAAAAACGAAATTCATGCATAAATGTATATGATTACCATATTTAAACAATTTTGCATCAACACAAAGTTATTTGGATTTTCTGTCCGTTTTCTTAGGAAATATTTTTTTTGCTCTTAAGTATTGACACTAAGAAAGCTAAAAAGAAAGAAAAACACTAATTCATGTACTTAACAAAAAATTATTTCAAACAAACATGGTGTCATGTCAACTTACCACTTTTAAAATGAGCACTATACAGTGTGTGAGTTGTAAATCTACAGAATACAAATTCAAAGCTGCATATTAAAGCAAAACAAAACTCTATATGATACAGAGCTGTACATAGCTGGTCAAAGGAATTTGGCACCTGACTAGGCTTAAAACGAGCAACACAAAACAATGGCGTAACTGCGTGGAATTTTACGGAATAAAGTGGCAGAACGAGCCAACGCTAACGACGACACGTCAAGGACGTTGCCCACTCGCGCTCAACTCTTCCTCTAGAAAGTTTCTACGACTAAGACGACCCTCCTGTTTCTGCCGTGTGTGAAAGGCAATGAGGTGGCGGAGGTGGTGGCTCAAAAGACCAGAGCCCTGGTGCTGGGTGCAGTTGATTTCCTAGGTTCGAATCCAGGCCTTTGAATAAATCGGGTTTCTCAAGTGTAAATTCATCAATGGTTCTCATGCCCAGTCCACTAATGAGTACACAACAAAAAATTGTCACGCAAAATAATTTGGCCTTGCACTTAATTTGATCGATTTGACTATCATGCGACGAGCATTGCTCTCTGGTGGCAAGAGTGGGTGGCAAAAGTGAAACCCCCTAATTTGTAGATCATAGGTCACTTAAATGGATTTAAGAGGTAGTTCTTTCATATCTGCTTGAGTGGGCGATCCTCTTAACAGCAAGGTCTGCACTGCTCTGAGAGAAATCCAAATTGATTATTCGTCTCAAGACGTAGCTCCGATAGAACAGCTATAAAATTGGGGGAGCCGGGGCGGAAAGACAATGGGGTGAAAATGTTATAACATTTGGCCACCATTTTCTGGATCTTTCTCCTCCTGTTCCACTTTACAACCCAAAAAAATGTGCATAATCTTCAATCTGCTTTTCATATCAACAGTCAAGGCAAGTAATAATTATAATGCGACTACAACAACACGCCACTTTGTTGTGGTCATGCCAGCCCATCAAAGAATTCCCGTGTATGGGGTGGTTCCTTATCCACGACGGCTGGTGGTCTTGAGCCTGTGGTGGTGGAAATTTCACGTTTCATTGACAGGGACCAGTCTTTCCACGGGACGGCCACAGGTTGACTTCACAACAAGTGGTGCAGTCTCATTAGGTGTAGGTTTTGTTTCTAACAACCATGGAGAGGCAATAACAAGGACGTTGATGATGACGGTGGTCGTAATGATGATGATGACATTAGTGATGGATCTGGGTTGACCCTGGCTGGAATTTGAACGTGTTCTTTCACAACTGAGAACCACGCTGCTCAGGAAATTGAAAAATAGCCATTGTAAAGTAATACAGAGCGTGCATTTTGCTTATTACTGTGATCAATATTATTGTAGATATTAGTCGTAGACGAGGAGAATTAAGTATTATAGTCCGTATACGTCTGTTCAGGCCTTTGAGTCAGATATCGTGTCGTCTTTGCCTGGCGACCACGACTTCTTCCACTTGATGCGCGTTGGTGACAGGGGCTTGGCCTCCACTTCCGTTGTGCTGTTGTCCATGACGCTGGATCGCTGATCCGACATCCCTTGCTTTCGGTCCCGCTCCGGGATTTTCATTACGCGGAACCTGCAGGACAGAGAGAGAGAGAGAGAGACAAAAGATGACCCAAGTTGTTCGATAATAAAAAGGAAACATCGGATAATAGCAGCAACGGGCATAGCAACCGGCTGAAATTTTGTTATGCGTTTTTTACATTTGAGGAAAAACTCACAAATAACAAAAACGGATGATTAAATGCCACTATAGACAAAAATAATTACACAACAGGCGACATTTTGGGCAATGGCCCTTTTCTGCTATGAAGAAGGGCCAATACCCAAAACGTCACCGTTATATATGTCTCCCTCTTTACAGCATCGCTATTGACGAATGTGTTTGAGCTTTGTTATTTGTGCTAGTGCACGAATGCCAACGCAGTATGAAAGTACAAAGCGAATACATTTGAGAGATTTTATCATATTGTTTTTTTTTTTACAAAATTGTATCTGATGCCAGACTTCTGATTCACTCTTTTATATGCAATTAAGTTCCATTTATTTAAATTAACGTTATTTGGGACGAAAATGGGTGTGTCGTTCATATTAAGTCAAAAATTGCCTTTAGGAGACATTGAATAGATTTGACATTGAAATAAGCTACACGTACTGGATTCTATCCAATCTGAGTCGAGAACGGTCAGGACACTACTGTAAAATAAAGAATGAATCACAGTACCGTACACCAAGCCTAGTCGTTGCAGTTAAACAGACACGACTGTGTTACGGACAACGGTGAGTTTACTCGACGTAAATCTGACTAAAAACAAATGAAGTTAGACTGGAATAAGTTATTTATCATACTGTTAGTGGACACAAAGTGCACGTTGCACAAGTTGTTTTATTGGCACCGTCGTTAGTTTCAGCGCGTTGTCCTACGAACCAAGCGAGCTCAGTTCAATTCCCAGCCGTGGCTAACATTAACAGCGAGTTACATCTCAACCGGTCCTGGGCCCGTCCCGTGACCAACCCACGCTGACGAGCGTGGTGAAGTATGGTAAAAAAAATTCCCCATTACCAATATGGCTTGGGAAAACCTTAATCCTGCAGTGGATATATAAAGGACCGTGCAACATTCGTATTATTACAAAGTGCATCTTTTTATTGATTTAATTTGTATATTTTCAGACAGTTCACCTTGTTGTGTTTTAAAATATGGTCCGAGAAAATCTGCAATAATCCATGATAAAATAAAAATAACGCACAAAATATACTTCAGCCAATCAAAGTGTTTTTGTTGTTGTTGTTGCTTGAGTGGTGGAGGCTTTCTGGAGTAATAATGAGATATTGCCTTTGCAAGCATATTATCTGGGTGGCGTTAGCACCACACCCAGTCACCTTTAGCAGGCAGAGTCGCCCTCATTCCTTACAGGTGACCAAGCTCTGTCTCATTTAGGGAGGTCTGGGTGGCCGAGCAGAGACCTGAATATTTCTCAAGAATCCGTGAGGCATCGGTTTTTAATGTTTACTAGCAGGAATGCACGACAAACCAAGTTCCTAAGCAGGCTACAGAAGTGTATTCGTAAAAGAAAGACGTTGATTACATGTTTTGTTTATATAAAAAGGATTAAAATGGCATATGTCATAGAAACTATTGAAAGAAAACAAACAAAACAACGCAGGAACATACCGAGCGTCGCCCTGCTGCTTTTACACGGCTAGTGCAGAGAAGTGAATTAAGCGCCGCGGGTAGTCAAGTGACCAGGTTTAACTCTGGCACCAGAAGGGAATTATATGTTGAGTAGCCTTCTCTGCAATGGCAGCTGATGCTAAAGGGCGGGGTGTTTATTCAGCTACATTTTCCAGGAGGTCACGTAACACAGTTTGTGTGTCAGACGTCATACGCCACGTGTACAGATGTCAACCCGTGGACATGTGACCACCGATCTCTACCTCTAGTCTCTAGGTCTCTCATCTCTCTCGTTTAGCTCACCTTCATCTCACTAATCGTGGTGGGCCATAACCTTTGGTGGGCCATAGCTCAACGGGGCACTCTAAGGGGCCTTCATGGGCCACGTCTGGTGCGATCGAATCCAAAAAACCCCCCCTTCATTATGGATAATATTGGTCACGAAAGCGTCAGTGTTAAACAAAAGAACCCTTCTATAAGGGAGTCTACGTTATCGGTGACGGGATTGACGTGGACGCCGACATCGACAAATAAATAAATAGCAAAGACGCACAGACACACGGCGTGATGTAAAGACTCGGCACCCACCTTCCCACGGCCAGCACCGTCTTCTCTCCAGGCCGCAGCGGCCGTGCGCCGCCTTTGTTACGGCTCTGGCTGCGCGCCTTGCCGGCTGCCTCCTGCCACTCCTTGGTGCAGCGAGCGCAGCCCGAGTTGGATGAGACCCCGTGGATCGTGTGGCTGTGCTTGTGCATGGCGTGCGAGTCGTCCAGGCTCAACACCGTCTGGTCCGGAGACGTGGGGCTGCGTGGGGATCAGGGTGAAGGGAACCACCACCACCATCATAGTCATCAACATCGTCGTCGTTAGAGTTGGGGCGATTAGCTAATAAGAGTCAAGTTATTTGAGGAATCGTTGTAATGTACTGCTTTTTTACGGTCGATTACTCGGGCCCCTTTGAACATGGTAGCTGTGCTGACATTCTACCTAACCCCCCCCCCTACAAGCAACAAGCAGCATGACAGAATGGCCATTGTGTCACCAAGCCCCACCTGTCACCTCCCGTCCAGCAGCACACACGGGTACAGCGGTGAGACCTAATTACAACTATTTCCGTGTTCGCCAATTAATCGCGTAATTGAACTGACAGTTGATAGAGTACTCTACGACTTAAATAATCCGAAAGCCTGGCTCTAGTCATCATCTTCAGTCGCGATAAAGCAACTGCTCGATGAAGACTTCTTCAAACCCCTTCACCACGTCCCACGATCGTACAATGCACCAACCCATCTAGCACCGGCACGCACGAGCGGATTTCACGGTAACATCTCCACGGTGGACGTCCTCTCGGCCGTGCGCGCCCTCTCTGTTCCCTCCGTTAGTTGAGGGGATGTCACGAAGTAAAATAAAAAAAAACTTGACAACCCACAATATTTATTTGTATTTTTAAGAAAACCCACGCAAGCCTCATTGGAACACTCTACAATCCGCATTATTGTATCACCTCCCTTTACAATGCACTTGCTAATTCACATGTCACACACTTAAACTGCTTACCCCCACAAAAGGCACTTTTTTAAACAATATTTTGTGGGTTATAAATACAAAAATTCCAGGACAACCTTCAGTTGTAATGTAAAATCAGTGGTACACAAATGATTATCATGCACATGCTCCAGTGACTCAATGCACCATTTCTCTACGTGTACTGGACATCGACAGGAAATGCACTTTAGTACAGGACCACGATTATTATGTACGGCCAGCAGAGGGCGCAGCCACTGTGATTCAAACACGTGATTGAAAAGAAGTCAGAACAATTCCCTGTTAAAATCGACATTGAGGAAGTGGTCGGTGATCTGTTTTGCGAAATTCCTCGTCCCTTTGTGTTAACTTCCCCACCAAGTGGGATTCATTGTATCAACCCCCCAGGGATGATGGGCTGTGTCAACCCCTGAACTAGTATTTTAACTCACGACCTCGCTTAACCACTAAGCCACTTCCTAACCCAAAACTCAAATGAAACAAAGCTCCTGCATAATTTAAGATTTTTGTTAAATTAATAACACAAAAATATACCACAGTAGAATTGCCGCACAATGGAAATGTAGATCCCATTGTAAATGATATGTTGCACCTAAGCTGTGTAATCTTGCTATATATTTGGGCGCCACGGTGGCGAGATGTTAACTACCTCGCCTGGTATGCAGGAGGCCATGGGTTCGATCCCGACCTGAATGCCTGTGTATTTGGAGTTTGCATGTTCTCCCCATGTTCGCGTGGAATTTTCTCCGGGTCCTCCGGTTTTCCCCTCCACATTTAAAAACATGCGTTTAGAGTATTTGGCTTCAATGAATTACCATATGACAAGCCACTTCGTTGAGCTATGATTTGGGGCCAGTATGCGTCTGAAAATGAGCTACGTAGCTCAGTGGCCCTTACCTGGCAAAAATAAATAAACACAATGTGAGAAAGTGTTGCACGTAAAAGCTGCGTAAACGTGTCCCGATTTGTGCCGCTCAAGTATTTGCCAAAAAATTTTGTTGCGAGTCATTTTAAGATTATTGGGTCCGGGCCGTGACATTATCGCCACACAACGAGCCGCACCTTGTGAACGATGTCACGAGGCGTTTAATACCCACGTGTGAACGCTGCAAAAACACGAGCCAATTATGAAAACGTAACCTGTGTGCGATAATGACCAGGAATTAATTTGTGTTCGTCCTCACGCTCCAGTGACACATGCATCGCCATCGCTCCACTTGTCAGCGTCTTCAGCGAGGGGACGATAACTCAAAGCAACGTTTACCAATCTACTTAACGAGGAGAGTTTTCAATCAGTGCAACATTTCCAGCGATTGATGCATGGATAAAAATAAATGTACACCTACAGACCTGGTGTAGATTATAATGAGAGTAAAGCCAGCACTCTTAGCTGAAAATTATAATTTGATTTTAAGTCATTATAAATGCAATGACTACTATTTGTAACTAATACGAGGTCTGGACACTTAACAAAGAAAACTGAAGTCTGAAAGTTATCTAAAAAGTGTGTAGAGATGCATGCAAGAAATTGCACAAGTGTAACAGAAAGATTAACACATGGATCACATCGCAGAAATCATAGTGACTGTTAAAAGAATACGTGGGCTCAGAGAGAACACGTCGCTAAAAGGGTTGGCAGCAGGTTGGACGAGACTGATATCCGAGCAGCAGCCAGGGGAGGGATCGCCCCGGAGTGGATAACCACGGAGTTTGAGCGATGGGATTAGCTCGGGGCTCGAAAAAAAATGGATTGTGGTATCACGGCATTGTGGAAACTGGCGACAGGGGTAACCATCATCCACAAATTCACCGCAAACCCTTGCTGATCTCCAGTAGGTGCATAGACCATCGCACGAACTCCAGTCGTCCTCCCAGCGGCTTTTGGCTAACCGTCTAACAAAGACGGTCGCTGCATCGCGCGCGCTTTCAGATGCGCTTCTGCGGCCGTCTGGAACGCTCTCCCTTCCAATATTAGGAAGCCGCTGGGGCTATGCACTTTGAAATCTAAATTGAAAACGAATTAATTTAGACCTGCTTTTTGTGTTCAGCTTGTTGTCCTTCCCCCATGGCCTCCAATTAGCACGGTTGGATACAAAGTTCAACACGCATACATACACAGCTGAAGTAGCTCCCAGCACGCGGAGCGAAACATCAGACATCATGCTGAACAACACGCGGTAATAGCCCGAAAATCCAGCGGAGAGCTGTACAGCACGGCACAACGGTGAAAACCGACGCAGGAGTTGAAGCAATGCCGGGTGTAGGTCACGAGATGGCACCCAGAGCCAAGCCCATTGCTATGATGGAGGCTCATGCTGGTGAAAATGAAACTGGGTCTGAATAACAACAAAAGCTCTCTGGGAAAACTCTTTGTATCCGAGAAACCTCGCTGTGACCCATTGCAACCGAGATCAAACGACTGAGCAGAACAATTGAATGTTCGGGCTGCTCCGGTTGCTGCGCGTGTGAAAATTTTCCACCACAGAGTGGATCACATTGTGTGTTGTACCGACTGTCGAGTTCAATGGAAGATTCATGAAGACACCACCCGATTGCCCCCTGCACCACTGTTCATTCCAGTCACGCGATGGTTAATGTGGTTTTTTTGGTGAGCTTATATAAATAGGCAAAGAGCAGTGGGAAATAACTATTCGATAATAACAGCTTCAGAACAATAACAGTTTCGTTGGGGAATAAATGTCAGTTTGCCGTTGACTAACTTTAGGGAGCCATTGGCTCGTTCATAATTTGTATTAAAACGGCGAGGCACTTACAGATACCCCGCTCATGTGATATGGAGAAATCGTAGGGAAAACAACAATTTATTTCAACGTCTCTGCACACCTCCCACCTCAATAAACGTATTAAATATTGTAACACACTCCTCTGTAAAATGTGGGGACATCACTTTTTACAATAATCAATCGCCTTTGCAGAAGAAAGTTAAGAGGGTCAATAGATACGAATGGGGTATCTATAAAAGGTTCACCTTGCATGTGTGTTCACAAAGTGACTTCATTTAGCCCCGAGTTTCAAGCATGGCTACCAATTTAAAACATCAATAATAAGCTCTCAAAGATACGGATAAGACCCACTAATCTATGAGCAAAATTATAATAATATTCTTTATTTATCCACGAAAGCCTTTCAGAAGGGTTCTCAAATGGAATATTTGGCCAATTCCATTGATCCATCTTTGGCTTGCGGCAGCGACCCACTTCTATTAGGGGATAAGTCTCTAAACTCCGCACAGGTGGAACGCAAAATCCCTTTCTGTACTCCCGCTTTGCAAGCACACCAAGCAAAAGAAGCACTTAAAGGACTGGTCTCGAGATGGCTTCTGTTTACCGACGATTAAGCCCAGCCAAGACAGTGCGGCTTAAGCAAACTTACTCCTATTGACGCAACGGATTCCACGGTACACAAAACAAATTCAGGACACGAAAACAAATTTGTACTGGAAATCTTCAGCCCGGGCCTGGGTTAAGACTCTGTCCCAAGTTCCGGCCAGCTCCGGTCTCGTGCCGCTAGCCATGCCGCGTACACATCAGGTCACGTGACCTTGCCCGGCTCTCTGTGTTGAGCGGGTGGATTGTAGGGTAGGGGGACAGTCCCATTGGGACAGACAGAAACTACTTGTGTGGGCTCGTCAATCGAATTCCGCACCCCACTTAGGCACAAAGACAACAAATCGTAAGGCAGGGGGGGCTCACGCACTCCTTTATCTCGTGGGCGAGTCCCAGCCAGAAAATGGACACTGCCCAAAACGATACGAGAGAAAATTCTTCAGCCCTAGCGCTGGGAAAGCATGCGGTTACTCTGCCAACGGGCGTGGGCTGACACGAGACACCGTCGTCGATTGGATGAATGGTGCAACAGGAACAAGAAAGGAGACGAGTCAACTTGCGTAGGTTTTTGCGGTTGTGACGTACAGCTCTCCGAAGTGTGTTTGGGTCGCACCGCGTTATTATTTTAGCACGATCACCGATGTTCCGCTCCACGTTACTCGGAACTAACTGCAGTTCGTGATGAGCCTTACCTGAAATAAAGTGAATGACTGACCGAAATTTCTTCATGAACCAATCTGAATTCGGTTCAATTCCCGACGAAGATGAATGACTTCAGTTCCTGAAGAACAAGAAGCTCCCAGCAGGCGGAGAAAAACGCCGAGCGTAATCATGCCGGAGAACGCGTGGTAGCTGCAAAGACGTTGCTGAACGACAGAGACGAGTCTGATAAAGACTTCGACAGTGTTCAATGAGCAGTGTTGAGTACCTCTCAAGGCTCATTTCCGGTTCACACTGCTCAGCTTGCAACTCCTTGAGGGCTTCGGCGTTGGCTGCAAGGAATAAAGAAAAGACTTATGATCTCGGGGGGTGCAATGAATATTCACTTAGTATTAAAATTTGTCCAAATGCATATTGATGAACAATATTTAGAGAAGAGGTGAGATATGAAGACGAAAAAGCCGAGAGATGGAGGGAGACGGCGAGAGCCAAAGAGAGAGGCAAGACGCGCAGAGACGGGTGGAGATGGAGAGACACGGACAGAGGAAGCATGAGAGACACTGTTGGATGGAGAGTGAGGGACAGACACAAGGAGAAACAGAGATACGAGGAGACAGAGGAGAAAGAAAAACCGAGGGAAACAGAGAGACTTTCAAATTTATTGAAAAAAAAATATTTAAAAATATAATCTTCCGTTGAATTCGGATCGCTAAATAGCTAGTAATACATTCATACTTGAGTGCACGGTGAAAAGTGCACATGTTGAGCACCGACAGACTCAATGGATTTTTGTTAAACAGCATTCCACTGGAATCCGTGTTCAGCCACCCGAGTATAAAAACCGGGTTCTCAAGTGTGGCCGGTTGATGGTCACAAACAACTTAATAAATATATTAAAAAACAACCATTAAATACGGTTCTGCACTTCCTTTGCCAAATTTATCCAGCTCTGACCACATACCTGTCAACCCATATGGTTTACTTGTACAGGAAAATATAATTTTCAGGTCCATACGGCGTACAGCCGTTTCAATACAGGCAAATAAATATACGTCTTCTTTGTTTGTGTTTCTCCCTTGTGATGGGACTTTGCAGAATGAACATTGAGATTAAGAAGGGCACGGAGTGACCAATAAGATCTGAATTGGTCTGTAATAAGGAAGGCACAAGGAGTTGACAGGAATGTAAGGATACAAACATTTTGGTTTGATTGCCAGGCCAGCGGACATCTCTATCGCAGGGAGCACGGCCAAAGGGCTGTGCCCTTAGGGTGGTTAAGAGGGTACTTGAAAGCATCTCTCTCTAAAACACGGAGTTGAAGGACTGCTCTGCCGTCGTTCCCGAACAGACATTTCCTTATCTCAAGAACATGACACCCGATAGCACAACTGGAAAACAATTGGGCATTTCAACACCACGAAGCGTGCAGTTTTACAAGTGTGAAACTGACGAGATGCTATGTGACTTTACACCAGAAATAAACGTGGACAGAGCACTCCACCAGCGTTGTCCGATAAGCTTTCAAGTTTCCTACCGCACGTGGAAATGTCCTGCCTGCCTCGTCTCTGTGTTCCCAACAAGAACCAGGCCAAAAACGTTGGGTACCCAAATATTTTTTCGAATATAATAACAATTTCAAGCATGGCTACCAATTTCTAACAACAATATGCTCTCTAAGATACAGGCAGGTCCACCATTCCATAAGCAAAATCATAATAACGTTAATCTTTGGTTCTTTCGGTAAAGTCACGTATAAAGATAAAATAATAAATTAAATAATAGCATACGACGTTTCGATTGCAACACAAGCAATCATCATCAGGCATAAATGAAATAGCAAAAAAAATCTAACTAGAAAACTCTAGTTAGATTTTATCTTTATCCGTGACTTTACCGAAAGAACCAAAGATTAATTCCTGCAGTCACGAAAGCTCTAAAACATAATAACGTTATTTATTTATCCAGGAAAGCCATGCCAGCCGTGGGGGTTGTTTAACAATACTTCACCACGCTTGTCCAATGCGTTTTGGTAAAGGGATAGTGGGAGAGAGGGGTTCATGATCTGGTCAGATATCGCTCACCGCTCACGCTGGCTGTGGCCGGGAAAGAAACTCACGTCACCAGGTTCGTGGTGAAGTGCGCGTGGCACTATGCCACAATGCTCTCCTCCGTTGGTAAGGTGCTATTAATTATAGCTAAAGTAATGTAGTCGTGCTATATTTAGGCGGTTTGAAAGAGATTATAAAATCATACGAAGCATTATGCCGGCAAGCTGCCTGTCCATGTCAAATTTGATAGGGATAATCATCCTGATGAATACAGATGTAGTGACATCGCGGGATGTCACTGTGTAGTGCCGGCTCTAGAGAGGCACGGCGTGCGGTGTAACAACATCGCAGACACCACGAGGATGTGGGTGCAGTACCGGCCCTAGAGGGGCTCGGTGAGCGCTGATCGATAGCGCTGGATGGCACCACGCTACAGGATAGGGTGTGGGAGTGCCGGCCATGGAAATGGGGTTACTAAGGGCCGTGGCACTCTGGTTGACCCCAGAGGACACGTGACCGGTTAAGTCTACACAGGGCCCCCCTAGTGGGGGCTAGGGGTGGTCACGTGTCAAGGTCGAGATCCTGCTCGAGGATTCTGGAAGGTGGTCGTGGCCAAGGGCGGAGCCAGCCACGCCACGGAGGATATAAGCTGGGTCCCCCAGAGGGACCGGCGTTGTTGTTCATCCTGAAGAAACCTTCGTCTGCGTTCTACGTCCTACAGAGTCTCCAACATATGGACCTGGACCCGAGCTGTGGTCCTGGTCGGTTGTAGCAGTTACGTTGTAACTAGTGTAGTTAGCCTGGTGGTCAACACCACAGGTTGTTATTCTGTTAAGGGGCAGTTACCCCGTGTGTTGGTGTTAATAAATGTGTTGCCTCCAAAGAGTACGTCTCAGTTGAACTCACTACACAATTTCAAATAAACTAACTGCAACGTTTACAACTGTCACTGAGCATAATTAACTATCTCACGATTTGGATGAATGGCCTTCCCAATGGCTCCTTAAGGTTAATAAACCGCAAACTCTGACATTTATTTTACAATGAAGCTGTTATTGTTATGAAGCTGTTCATATAAACTCACCAAAACAACATTTATCATCACATGACTAGAATGAACAGTGGTCAGAATGCTCCCGAAGGGTCCGACCAGAGCGGAGATGGAGTAACCAAACCAAGGCATGCATGAAAGTTAGCTGCATGATGAAGATGACCAAAATACATTGGATTCCCTTCATCCGGTCAGATCTCAGAAGCGGTCGGAAGACGACCGCTTGTGTTGCCATTATTTTCTTTGAACCTATCTACGTCGCGCCGAGAGCGGGCAACGTTTCGACGGACGGACGGGTGGGAAGGGGGCGAATGAGCTCACCGGGGTTCTCTGTGATGAGTCTCGCGATGGCTCCCACCGTGTCCTCGTGGCCCTCGAAGCCTCCCTTTACGCACGTGTGTCCGTTTTCTGCGCGGTGAGAACACAAACGCGACAGAGGCAACGGTCGTTCGCCACCTTCGTCATCGTCGTGCGTCGACGTTTAAACACCAGTGCCTCTAAAGGTCTGGCAGATCCCGCAGAGTTGACGAAACCGCCAAATACGCTGGGCTGCAAGATTGCCGAACAGATGGCAATACAGCAAGTGGGCTTTCTGAACGCATCTGCGCGCGCCTGCCGAGTGTTTATCCCCATCTGGCACTCCAGTATCTTGCTACATGCAAAAAAAGTCTTAAAATGGAAATTAATGAGACTCGATCATGTTCTAGATTTGAAGTTTTCGTGACTGCAAGGATTCATACGGTAAAGTCACGTAGGTAAAAAACTTTAAATAAATAAAAACAACTAAATTAAATCACGACGTTTCGGGCGCTACGTTGTCCCCACCTCAAGAAGGACGCTTGTGTTGCGCCCGAAACGTCGTGATTTAATTTAGTTGTTTTCATTTATTATTTTTTTACCTACGTGACTGTACATTCTGCTCGATGTGTATCTACCATTCACAATTGGGCTGCATGGTGGGCAGCAGGTTACAGTAGAGAAATGGATTCTAGACTTTAACAGCGCAGAACATTACACCCCTCGGACTCGTTAGTTTCCTACCGAGGGCTCCGCGTTTTCGTATCGCATGCCAAACGCTCCTTCGAAAAACGGAACTTGCCAACTATGTGTCAAGACAAAAAGGTAAACGTCGTGGCGTTGTGAATCGCTTGCGCATGCCACCAACAGGGGGAGCTCTAGAGAGCCTCTGGAGAGGGGTGTTTGGTCCACCCTTCCACACTGGCCAGACATCTTGAGCGGCCGTGACTTCCCACACTTTACCCCACCACACGTGACCTGCCCATCGACAAACTGTGGTGGGGGGCGGGGGGAGGGGAAGGCGTATAAAAAAAAACCTTGACCACTGTTTCAACTGCCGCGCAGGGCTAATGAACAGGTGACCACTGGATTTCAAATCCGTTGCGCCAACCGTTACACCACGGCGGCAAGGAGAAAGGCAAATATTACGACAGCTTCAGTGAGCGTTTAATTTGTTCAGCTGGCGGAGGCAGGAGCCGAACGTGCCAGCTTTGCAGGTGAATGAACCGCGATGTGCCGAGGCCTACGCCCGTGGACGATGTTGTCACAGGTGAGTGCCGCCACCAACAGCAGGGGTAGGAGCAGCAGCCCGAACGAATAATATTCACATTCTAGTGTTGTAGGCGCATACACGGGCACCGCAGTGGGTCCTTCGGTGAATCATAACCATCTGCTGCCACCTACGTTATCAAAATGACTCCATCCGACCAGAGGCCTTCTCATTGGAACCTAAAATAAAAAAAGTAGAATTCATGACAAACGTCCTCTTCAAGAGTTTTGGCGGGTAAGAAAAATTGATTTGGAACAGCGGTGGGCTCATAGTTGCCATGTTTCATTGCTGAACCAGAACTGGCGAATTGATACATTTCAATCTGGACAGCCACCCATGATTAAACCAGAACCACGAGTGGAGCTCTATGCGATGGTCGTAGTGCAACCACCTAATCTTATCCGCAGACCTTATTCACTCGGCTGCTGGATGAAGGTCTCCCCTACCCCATGCAGCTGGTGGGTTTAATTTGAGCACACTTCACCACACTTGTCAGTGCGGGTTGGCTACGACAAAGACCAGTTCAGATATCACTCCCACCAACATCAGCCCTAGCCGCAATCCAATTCGGGTTGCCGGGGCTCCCGGGCGCGCGACTGTCGCGCCTGTTGGCGCGGGCACGGAGCTCTGTGGCCACCTCTCACCGGCATCCTTGAGGTCCTCGTGCGAGGTCCCTGGCTCGGGCGTGGACGTGCAGCGGTACCCCTTCTTCTTGAGGATGTGGCACACGAGGATGCCGAGCAACCCCACGAGGATGAACGCCGGCACGAGGAAGACGGCGCCGTAGCTGCCGCCCGTGCCTGCCGGGGTATCCTCGCTCGGGTCCGTGCCATTGAACGCCATAACGTCGGCCTTGAGAGTGGCCTCATCCGTAGCCGAGGCCGCTACGGTCATAATATCGCTCCGATTTCTGCTGAAAGTGCCGTCTCCTGCCTAATCTGGTGGGGGGGGGGGGGGGCAAAACAATGTGGCGTTAACGGAGCACCGACTTTGATTTTCTCAGCGTTACGTGCGTTCGCGTTTATACACGTGCAGTCATGTGTATGCACGGAGTAGCGTGGTGGGAGGCAGAGGCCAGTGCGGCAAAATCCACTGCTGCTCTGCGCTTCTATGTGCTCGCGCCTTCACAAAACGTACTCGCCGGCATGGTAAAGTATAGTCAAGCAAACCCCCAAGACCGAAACGTCGTTGGAAGGTCCCTCATCATTCAGCTGCGGAAAAAACAAATGGGCTGCGCGTGTATGCACGCGTGTGCATGTGCGGAGCAGCAGTATTGCGAAGCGGGCGAACCGATTTTGATTTTCAGAGAAGCTCGGTGATAACTGCACTGCAGCTCGAGTCACACGTCAAATGTATGCCTGCTCACGTGCCCAAAGTATGAACACCAAACGAGATGGGGTGCAACAATTCACTCAACTCCACCCACCCGTCTCCGCGCCTCCCCTCCAAATTATCTTTTTAACGACGCGGTGCGTATAAGCGACTCCTGTGGCTGACGGGGTCAGCCATGCGTGTGGGTATCGGGGGGTTATTTGATCATACTTCACCACACTGGTCAGTGTGAATCGGTGGAGGGGAGCACAGACGGACATTACGTAAATACATTTTGTTGCACTGCCCTATGCTGCTCAATACGTAGCCCTGCACAAGACGATATATGGCATCGTTATAAGCCATGATCTATCCACTGCTGTATGAAGGCCTCCCAAAGATATTGCCAACTTCCACGGTCTTGTGATACAACCAATCACCTATGACCAACACGTGAGCTGACCACATTGCTCCTCGTGGGCATGTTCTCTCCATTGACTGCCACTCCTTCATGAGACTTAACCACTGGCCATTGTCCCGCACCTACGATATAGCGCGATTGGATACGTACGGTGCGAAAGAAGTTCAACGTACACACACATGCAAGACATGTTCTGCCCAAGCCCATTTCATTTTCTTGACAGTCAATGTGATTCTAGATTTGAAGCGTTCGTGACTGCAAGGATTCATACTCTTAGGTTTTTCGGTAAAGTCACGTAGGTAAAAATAATAATAAAATTAAAATAAATAAAAGTAATAATAATAATAAAATAATAAATCACGACGTTTCGGAGGCAACACAAGTCTCCGTCATCAGGTGGGACCGTCACAGCTAGATTTACTCGTCAATGTGATGCAACTAATTTACATGTCCTTTGATCCACGTGTTCCTCTTCTGTCTCCAAGTGGCTGTAAAACCATCGCACGTCTCCATGCACCTTTGTACACTGCTCAGCCGATGAAGTCCAAGTTCATTAATCGTTGACTCTTCTCTTTAGTCAAGGTGAGATAAAATCGATAGAGGTGCATATGCTTGTTTGTTTGTTGCCAAATATATTGGCAAAAACTGCCGATCCATGGTTGAGTCTCCTGCAAACTTTTGTACGAACTCGAGCCCGTGTAATAAAAATAACCATGGCTGACTTGTACATTTTTTTCTTGTTTCCATATTGAAATCCTGTGAAGGTTGGCCGAAATAGTCTTTTCCCTTCATCAAGTAAATGCCCTTGTATTGTAGCCAAGTTAATAACCCTTGGGAGAACAGAGAGACCATAAAAAGAGCTGCAAACAAGCACGCTCGGGCCAAAAACGTTCGCGACGCACAGCGAGGGAACAGAGATTGCTGTGCACGCATTGCTAACATCTCGCCGCAGCGCCGAGATGTTAGCTACCTCGCCCAGTATACAGGAAGACGTGGGTTCAATCCCGACCCTGACGCCTGTGTCTTTGAAGTTTGCGTGTTTCTCTCTCTCCCCGTGGTCGCATGGATCCTCAGGGGTTTTCCCTCCACATTTAAAATCGGCGTACGTTTAGAGTTATTTGACTGCTGCTATGAATTTCCATATGATAAGCCACTTCGTTGAGCTTATCATTTGTGGCCAGGTCGCTTCCGAAAAAGACCTATATAGCTCAGTGGGCCGTACCTGGTAAAAGAAAAAATAGTAATAGTAGCATGTTCAGTGGGGTTGGGCACTGAGCATTTTGAGTTCTGGTGATATTTTCGTACTTGTTTCGCTTTGCTAAATACTCTGAAATTCATCTAAAGATAGATTAAACACTCACAGCTTGTTCTCACAAAAACTAAAAAAAGCCACATGAAGCCACAGTTGGCAGTTCACCAATTAAAACTAAATGACAAAATATTTAGAGGCTTCAGAGCACAATTTTTGCAGTGTAAAGATTAGATTGCGAGAGATGCAACGCTACCCCGGAGGGTCATCAGTGCTTGCCGTTGCAACCCCCGGAGCGGTGAGGACGCGAGAGAAGGGAGGTTTCGTCGTCTCTCAAGTCTCACGGCATTCGAAGGTGGAAAGAGCAGGCTCCAGACCATTGCTGTGGATCGTAAATGAGGCCGATTTGAACTCGTTGTTCCCACGTGCCTTGCTTTATTGGCATGGCACAGCAAATGTCGCCAGATTGCGTAATGTGCATCTGTGTTTGCCATGCAGGTCGCTCCCCAGATTAGGCAACCTAAGAGTCTAAATATAAAAAAGTAATCCCTATGGAGGGAGCGGTGGCACTGCGGGTAGCGCACTATATGCTTTGATCCTGGCAACCGATTCCAGGTCATGGATAATGTCAACAGCGAGCGATATCTGAAGGGTTCCTAGCACCCCGCACTGACCAGCGTGTGATGTATGGTCAAACCTCCATTGCTGCAGCATGCCCAAGTTAAAAACCACTTCATGATTATAACAATGGTATTGTCCGAAAACGTGGAACGGCCCATGTGCGGATATGGGTTACGTAACAACACAATGGATTTACATTCAGAGTTGGCCAGTTGGAAAATTTTAAAAAGTATGCTTTGGTAATGTTCCCGATTGGTAAATCATTGAACATTTGATGGATATTTCAAAAGCAATGGGTTACTGCCAAAGGGCACTTACCAAGAGGCACAGGAATATTAATTAAAGTATTGAATGCCGAGCTAGCACTGTTGAGCTCCTGGGTTTGAATCGGGGTCTCGGCCACCCATTATTAAATGAAGTTCACAAGGGAAGTGAGTTGATCGTTGGGGCCCAGTGGTAGCACGTTTGCCGCTTGTTGCAGAGGTTTGCGGTTCGAATCCGTCAGGTTGCCCTGGTCAATACTAGCCATATATAAATAAGGGTCATCTTATTCCCAGTCGACGTGAGGATCCCGCACCGTCATTTGAAAAGAGTAAGCCATTGTGTGCCGTTGCCATGGTACGAATTTGATAAATTACCTGCACATAACTCAATTTGGATTACAGAGACTAAGTATTTGAAACATAGCACCTGCGTGACAGCCTTGCCCTATAAGAATGGCACTAATACCAAATGTGCTAACCTATTGTTAATTAGTATTATGTTCTAAGCCTGGTCACCGATGACTGCACGAAAAACAACAACATGTTAAATGGTATTGCAGCTACTTTGATTAAAATTCCAGGTCTGAAAAGAAAAATCCATCAGCCTGATGGTCCGTGGCGAAGTGCAACACCCTCCTGCGCAAGGAGTAAAAAGTGCACGTGAAGGATTTTTGGGTAGATGTGAAAAATCACTTCTGTGGACATTTTATGAAAAATGAGGCACACCGTCTCTTCCTTTCATTACAAGATCCTGACAGGGCCAAACAACTAAAGGGCCTACGGATATTTAACCATGTTTTTTTGTTTGTTTGTGCGATAAAATTTGTAACCAAGATATCTTCTTGAATAAATGTATTTATATAGTATGGATAGGTGCAGTGAAGATAAAAAGTGGCAGAGTCATGTCATCGTCAATCGTATTTTTTTTTACATAAGGTGAGAGAGAAATTAACACCGGAGATGAATTTTTAGAGATTTTTTTTCATTGCGAGTGACAACGGTGGTAGTCGCGACATGGGGCAGCAGTATCAACCGTAGAAAGATATCGCTGAAGGCCTACGAAGCAGAAGTGCCTAGGGCCTACAAGAACCTTAATCCGGCCCTAGATTTGAAGCTTTCGTGACTGCAAGGATTTTCATACTCTTTGGTTTTTTCCGTAAAGTCACGTAGGTAAAAAATCTAATAAAATAAATGAAAACTAAATTAAATTACGACGTTTCGGGCGCAACACAAGCGTCCTTCTTCAGGTAGGGACAACGTAGCGAAACCGCCTAAGTGTGTCAATTTTCATTTATTTTCTTTGATTTTTTACCTATGTGACTTTACCGAAAAAACCAAAGAGTATGAACCTTAATCTGGCCCTAGATCCTGATAGCACAATTTAAATTGTGGAAAAATACAAAACGTAATGACAAAAAAACCTTGTTTATGATGAGCTGTGATGCTATTACAAGTTTTTCATTATCTGCCCAGGCTTGGTGTGAAATATGATATCCGTACACCACGTTTCAGCTATCACAATGCCACTCTGCTGCCTGAGTTTCAGCATTCGCTGATAAAAAGCCAAGTATTCACCCAAGATACCCTCGCCGAATCTCTAAATAGTTTTTCAAGAGGGCCTGCATTGGGTTGTTTGGCCAATACCAACAATGTATGTCTGCCGTCACGTGGGTGTGAGGAAACCGGACTACCCAGAGAAAACCCAGACATGGGGGGTGGGAGGTGACACTTGACACTGCCAATTCATTGTCATACTTTGAAGCCAAATGCCTAACAATTCTTGAGACTCAGCAATGCAACTTGGAACAAGGCATGATTGTAATTGAGTTGTCAAACCTTTTTGTGCTAAATTTCGATTTAAAGCTTTCGTGACTGCAGGGATTAATCTTCTTGGTTCTTTCGGTAAAGTCACGCAGAAGGGAAGTAATATAATAAAATTCAGATGCTGTCGCCTCGACAGACCTGGTTTTCACCTGAGGACGGCTGCTTGCGTTGTGGCCGAAACGTCGTGAGAATTATTTTATTATGTTTTATTTTTATTATTTTATTATATTTTGTGTTAATCTACAAGTGTAAATATTTTTTTTACATCTGCAAGCACATTAAAAAAATAGATCACTGTCCCTATGCTCAAATGCACACTGCGCAGCACACATCGGAATAGATGGTGGAAATTCCACATTTCATGGTGGGGGTCAGTACTTCCACAGGATGGCAGCTCATGGGTTTCCAGCACACGATGTAGCTTCACCAGATAATATGTATTTTATCCACCTTCGGGGAATAATGATGATGGGCCGAAGTTCATAATGCCTGGGATGTCAGCTGCGCTACACCCAGGCCAGCGAGTGGGTAAGTTAATGAAAACTACTTTCAATTAACCGCACACACACAAACATGTTTCTTTCTGTTAATGTTAAATTAATATTGTCAGCCATGATCCATCAACTGCTGGATCGATCTCGGGGGGTTATTTGACCACCCTTCACCACATTGGTCAGTGCAACGTGGTGAAGTATGTTAAGTTAATATAAAAGGTAAAGGTGTAGCCCTGCAATGTCTTATTCACACCACCGCTGCCAGAAGGGCCTCTATTAGAGGGAGCTCTAAAGAGCCCCTCTCGAGAGGGTATTTGGACTACTCTTCCATGCTAGCCATAATGAACAGCGTTGTCAAATAAATTGGGAAATGAAATAAACTGAGCAGTTACAACCATCTATATGACTTTCACGCTGATATGCAGAACGAAATTTACGATTTTTACGCAGGCAAGCTGAGCGTTATAAGACAGGCTGAGTAAGAATGGACTAATGAGAGTAGTTGAAGCGTGCATTGCTCGTTTTGCCAAGGGCAGGAACGTCGTGTTGCTGCCTGGCCGTGTTTAACTCTATTGATTCGTAGGGCATAATGGAGCACCGTCTGGTACCGTGTGTACAATGGGTGACGGGCTCGTTGAATTATCACCTCCCTAAAATAATGGGAGTCGCCTTTCAGCAGTGGTGATATCCATCTCTGGGTCACAGTTCACCTGGTAGGGTGGCAGGGCACCCAGCAGTGAGAATGTGAGTTCAAACTCTGGCCAGGGTTGACTTGGCTACGTTATCACCACCACCATCATCATCTGCGTGCCTCTCCACGGGTATCCATGGGAAGCTGTGGGTTGTGCTAGGAATGTGACATTTACACTATTGGCTCAGGGCCACCAATGGAGATGAGCTTTGGCAAACGTTTTTTTTTTTAAATAACAATGTTTCATTCCAATAGTCTGGAGTGTACATAGTACGTTCAGCGAATTTTCTAAAGCTATTATTCTCTTCTTAAAACAATGTATTTTATGAAAACATCTTCATCGTGCAGCGTAGACCACCAAGGGTCAGACAACGAGCCACTGACGCCACCGGTGGAGTGGGTCGCTATTTAACGTCACGGGACGGACGGACCGGAGCAGCAAAAACAACGGCACTCACCGCACGGAGCGGCGAACCTCGCTCAGAAGCAGACACCCCCCGCCGTCACTGGTGGCTCACAAGACGGCAGCTACAGAAGGGGGGGGGGGAGAAAATATAATAATACATTAGTGGCGAGACAGAATCTGGCAGAAACAGAGAAGCATATTCATTATTATAATTATTGTCGGCCACACGAACTTCGTAATCCAGATCTACCCGCCAACTGGCGGCGTGGGCCAATGAGTGTGCGGCTTTTCCACGGAGCGGAAGGATGTTATCACACAAGAGACCTGCACGTGATTGGCTATGCCGCGGGTGGCATGAAGGGCGGTGGTGGGGGTTTCCGATTTTGAAGGGAGATTTGCAGGGGGGGGGGGGGGCTTTTGTAGTTGCGGTGCTTGTTGCCGGCCGGCGCGCATGAAGTGCAACGGGCTGTCGGCGAAGCCTGTGAAGGAACGCGCCTTTAGTTCGGTTGCATTATTGTCATAGCTCACAAAGCGGTGTGCGCGTGCACGTGCTTTGCAAGCCAGCAGAGGGAGAAACGTGATTCATGACGTCGCCTTTTTCATTTTTATTATCTCCGAATGAATTTACCGCGACGGCAGGAAGGCGGTGTTTTACACGCTTCTGCCGAGCCGAGGCAAGCATTTTACACGATAACTGCACGTTCAAATGCTCGCATTGCGCGACCATCCATCACACGGGGCCAGAAGTGCATACCTTGTAAAAAGGATTAACCAACAGGCAATATAAGGCAGGTGTTCAAAATTGTGGGGGGGGGGGGGGGGGGTAACAATGCGAGGGGGGCAGGAGATGGCAGTACAGCAACTGTTCTTAGGTTTTTTTTTTACCGAAAAAACCTAAGAATATGAATCCTTGCAGTCACGAAAGCTTCAAATCTAGAAGTACAGAAACTGGTTCGTGAGTCTATCTGCACGGAGCTTTGAGTGCTGCCTCCTTGCACGCACACGCTCAGGATTCCTTCCGTGCAAAGACTCGTTCGTGGAATTGGCGAAACACCCAAACACAAGATCCTTCTGAAAGAGAATCTTGAGCGAGGCATTGGCGAGTACATAAAGGGGGACAATTTTATTAATAGTTACACTGCAGTTCTTGTGATCACGATGTGTCATTTTGCCAACAGCAGTGGTGAGGTGTGTCCCTCCCATCCCCCACCCCTAGCCAAGGAGGAAAATTTTATTTTGTTCTCAAGTTTAATTTAAATAAAGTCGAGGTGTTTCATTTTCATGCATCACGAGTGCCAACTCCCAACGAATGAATGAACGCAGCCGTCTGCTGTCTTCGAGGCATCAAGTGGCGGAAGCGAAAATGGAGCCCTCTGACGAACGAACGTGTTTAACCCCGTCGACTTCACGTGACAAATTACGGAAAGCAACTATCTAAATGCGACGCAGATATAAGCATGATGAATCGAAGGGCTAATGAAAAATATTGATAGACACGTTTATTTCCCAAGACGAACCGCAAATACACACATCCATCTCAATGCCATTTGGAAAATTGATACATTTCTAAATTTTAATAGCTGCCAAGGCACCAATATGTCACAACACGATTCTGCTTTTAATGACATGCAAAGGTGCAGCGTTTGCAAGGGTGGAACAATATATCTCATACACACGCTTGTTCCGCTGTAGAAGCCATAAATATACTCTTGCGCGTATGTGTGTGTTTGCACGCGTCGACAGGAAAAACCACAACTGTGTTTAAAAATAGAGGCGGCCACCCGAGCGGTGAGGGTGCCGAGTGGCTGGTACCGCCGAGGTGATCGAGAGTCCAAATCTAAGTTTCCACCACCCACCATTATTTCTCTAATTCTAGATTTGAAGCTTTTTTCGTGACTGCAAGGATTCAGGCTCTTAGTTTTGTCGGTAAAGTCACGTAGGTAAAACATTTAAATTTAAATTAATAAAAATAAAATAATAAAAAATCACGACGTTTCGGAGGCAACACAAGTCTCCGTCATCAGGTGGGACCGTCACAGCCAGATTTGCTGTATCAAGTGATTTATTTATTATTTAATTTTTTATTTATTTTAATTAAAAAAATTTTACCTACGTGACTTTACTGAAAAAACCAAGAGTATTATTTCTCTACTTACATCGTCACATAAGGCACAGCAGACCCCCACCCCCAAACAAAAGAGCTGTCAGAGCCCAGTACGGGTAAAATGTATACAAAACAAAACTCCCCCCCCCGCACTCATCTCCAGTTCACCTCGCACACTTGATGCCAAGAGAACTTGTTTTGTTGGGAGAATCCAGGCGGTCAGGTGAAGCTCTTCGGGCGGAGCGTTTTCATTCCGAGGGCCAAGGACTGAAAAAAGCGCCGAAACGTGTTTTGCCGTAGGCGTGGCTCACAGAGGAACACGACTTGTGAGGACCTCGAACTCTGAAGATTGATAAAAGCTGCAGTTTATCGGTCAAATATTTAGGCAACTGCTAAAAGCGGGTTGTCAAGCGCAGTCACCAGTGGCTAGACTTGAACAGCGAACCTTCTCTGTTTTTCTTCTTGGTTCTTTCGGTAAAGTCACGTAGAAGGGAAATAATAAAACATTATAAAATACAATTCTCACGACGTTTCGGCCACAACGCAAGCAGCCGTCCTCAGGTCTGTCGGAAAGACAGCGTCTGACAGACCTGTTCTTCACCTGAGGACGGCTGCTTGCGCTGTGGCCGAAACGTCGTGAGAATTGTATTTTATTATGTTGTCTTTTTATTATTTTATTATTTCCCTTCTACGTGACTTTACCGAAAGAACCAAGAAGATGAATCCCTGCAGTCACGAAAGCTTTAAACCTTCTCTGTTTCTATATTTTTTTTTACTTCAGTTTTTCAATCAATTATCCTACATTCCAAGCCTGATAATTAAAATACTGGTCCCCCCGCGATTTGTGTCGAGAGAAAACGGCCACGTGAAGGTTTTTTTTCAGAAGGTCTCTGACCATTTCCCGTGCACGTATTTGCAGACGCACTGGACCACGCCGCTCTGCGAGATTTCCGAATGGATTCGTCGTCTCGCGACGCCGCAGTAGGCAAAGAACAAAACATAAATATTTTGTTTTAACTTACAAGAACAAACAGAACCACACCAGGGCAAGAATACCACACCTATGGGCCCACATGCCCCCATTTCCCCATCAAAGGCCATGACGTGCAAGAGACATCCGTTTTTAGACGCTGCATAGAGTTCGCCATTCATGCTAAACGCACAGACATATCCGCGGTTCAATGTCATGAACGGTAGGTGTTTTTTATTTTATTTAAAAGAGACGGAATAGGGGAAAAAAAGCAAACCACAGGCACGCATTCCTTTATTAAGTTAGTGGAGCAATTGCCCAGGCAAGTGGAACCACAGAAGAAGTGGAGATCTTGCCGATCTGGTCACAGTGAGATACCAACGGGGACAGCGTGTCACCCTCCGTGGCAGCACTGCCTGTGTTGGCCAACTAACCGCACGGCACGTGAAAAATAAAATCAAAATGTTTACAACCTCTGTCTCTCCACAGCCCATCAAACCTCGAAGTTGGCTAAAATAGGTACCGCTTCGTGGGGAAGTCAACAGCCATCGTCATACGGATAGATATCCCAGCCACCACTGGAATGTTCCCACCATGGGGACAGGGCTGCGAACAGGAGATAAGCGCCACCTCAACGCTCATTCGAGCAGGAAATCCCGTTTATTGTTTATTATTATTTCTATGAAGTTTGTTTATCCAGAAAAAGCCTCACCGAGTCTCAAGACTCTATTTCAGGGGGGGGGGTCATGATAATTTTTTTGTTCATTGCAGTCGGGGGCTATCTTGTTACGTGTATTCCCAGGATAGTAATTTGCAGGTAATTTTCAGCATTTGGATGTATTCTGACCAGTTAAATTCGGAGATAACATAAACACTCCACGCAGAAAGGAGCGCGAGTCAGTAATCGAACCCAAGCCCTTCTTGACATGAGGCGTAAGTGAAGAGTTGGGGATCAAACCCAGGCCCTACTTGCCATGAACCCCAAGTATTGTACTGCAAGAAAGCTCATCAACAGATTTTGTCCCTTGTGGCACAAGCGTGAAACAGTTTCTCGCACGTACATGTGCACATTCCAGTGGCATGCGCCGGCTGTCAAACCAGTTCTCGGCCCTGAATCCCTCCTTGTGTATATATTTAAACAATTTTTTCTATTCTACCAGGTAAGGCCCACTGAACTATACAGATCTTTTTCAGGAAGCCACCTGGCTATCACAAATGATAGCTCGACGAAGTGCCATCATGTAGACATTTATGGCAGCAGTCAAACAACTCTAAACGCATGTTGAGTCTAAATGTGGAGGGAAAACCGGAGGACCCGGAGAAAAATCCACGCGACCACGGGGAGAACGTGCCAACTAAAATATACAGCAGGCATCCGGGTCGAGATCGAACCCACAACCTCCTGTATACCAGGCGAGGTAGTTAACATCTCACCATTTTTTGCACCCCTATCAAATAAGCAAAGCAATGCAATTGCACTTCGTACACCCGTGGGAATTTCAATCAGCAGCAACGTGTGCCGCCAAGTCGTCGCCAATCATATCACAATGTTCACCGGCTGTGAAACGCGATTCGTGGTGTTCACGCGGCCGCGCCAAGGCTTGCACTCGACTGTTTTCGCCCGAGCCACTGCAAAACCTAAAGGTGCAGCCACCCTGTGACACTCAGCACCGCCAGGATGACCTTTTAAAAAAAATTAGTTTGTCAGCCACAAAGCCACCCACACAAGGAGACAATAAATGGTTCACAGCCCCACTCGTGCTCTCTCTTGCGCACAGAGGATAATCTATCCTGCGACAATTTTGTCCAGCCCGGATAGTAGCAAAATGGTAAAGGGGCAGCTCTGCAATTGATTGCCCACGCTTCCTGCTGGCAGAAGGGTTTCCATGAGAGAGAGCTGCCTTTGATGCTATTTTGGCCTACTCTTTCATGCAGGCCAGGCACCTTGGAACTGATGGGAGTACCCATCCTCTACTCCACCGCTGGCGACGTGCCGATCAAAATGACTGCACTCGATGCCCTGTAAACCACGCAATGGTCATTACACG